CCCCTGCCATCTTGGGTGTGCGTGTGCGCTGTTTTCGCTGGGAAACTGGGGTGCCCGGTCCGCCCGTGTGGCCACTATAGATGCAGTTGTCCACGCGCGACGTGAGGTCCATGTTCAGGTTGGCCCTGATGTCCCAGATGAGAATGGCGCCATCACGTCCGCCGGTGGCGAAGACAGCGGGATCGGTGCGCTTGAAGGCAGCCGACTTGACGGACCTTGTGTGGCCCACATAGGAGTTCAGGCCACGGATGCCGGAGCCGGCCACCTCCCACAGTCGGGCCGTGTGATCCCCCGAGGCGGAGACGAAACGCATCTGGCCGGGGGCCCATTCCAAGTCGAAGACAGCGTTGTAGTGGCACTGAGGACCCACCAGGGACTGCTCCTCCGGCTGGTGATTCCGCTGCGTGGTGTCCTGCAGCGTGATCTTGCCGTCCTCGTTGGCAATCGCCAGGATGTGCCGGTAGCCATCGCAGTTGGCGAACTTGGCGGAGAAGATCGGTGGCTCCGGATTGAAGTCCGGGCAGTAGTTGGCCGGCGCTATGCCCCGCCAGCTGTCCTCCTTGGCCACGGAAAGGCGACGCAGCGCGAAGTCGTAGGTCCTCTCATTGGCTGTGGAAAAATTCCAAATGGGACATTATGAAATTAGTGCCGTGGCTATGCCATAGTTTTCTACGGATTTTCTGCAAGATCAGCAGTTTCTAATGGGGCAACTAATCGGGTTTATCGCGTCCCACAAATGATCCTCCAAGCTGGATCAATACATCGCTGGAAATGGGGCAGTAAGCCTTGGCAAACCCTTCGAACCCTTTTTGAAATCAACACCTTTGCTTGCAGGAAATTCGAGCGCCAAAAGTGAGATTCTCCCGCCAAGCGAAAAACTCACCGTATCCATGCTCCCTGGCCCGCAACTTGTTGTATATGTTCATCCTGCGATCCGCTGGGCGACTGCTCCTTTAAATCCTCGTTTTCCACTATATTAATTGCTATTTCCTTTGAAATAAAACAACCTACGATGCATCGAAAATATTTTTCAACGACGCAGCTGGACTTTTGGGCAGTGTGACCGTCTTCGGATACGTAAACTATACTATTTGGAGCGAAAAAACCGCCAAAATAACGAAAGCGGTATTTCTCAATCTATTATTAAATAGTTTAAAATTATTTAAAATTGTTAGGTTTGCTTTAAACTTAATTTAATATTTAAATAACAAAAAACTCACTCTAACGATCAAAATAACTAAATTTGTAAGTGTTCACAGAATAACAAACAACTTTTGGATCCCAATTAAATTTGAATTGTTTTTAAAAACAAAACTATTAACTAAATCATTTTTTGTTGGCTGAATTCAACAGGTTAAAAGCACGTTATTGGTAAATAGTACTAAGAAGATTGTATATACTGTTATTTAACATTACGAAATGCAAATAGTTTTCTAATTTTAAAGAATTAAATAATTTAATATAATCATACGTTGTTGATCTGTTATTTTACGTTCATTTCCGCTCTTAATCATTTAAATAATTAAACAAAAACATTTATTAAATTCAAAAATAGAACAAAATAAAAAATCTTGCCGCTATTAAGGGTACATTAAATAAAAATACCAAAAGCTACCAACTGTGACAAATACCTGGACCAATCCATTGTTTATATGATTTGGCCAGTTGCAGCAGCCGGTCACACTGGCTCATATTTTGTTTTTTGTTGCTGTTCGCTGACTTGTTTTATGTTTAATCAAAGTTGCGCATAAAGATCGCTGCGAATCGTTTACAATTTGCGCATTTAAATGCAGCTGTCCCTTTTTAGTTGCTTATGCTAGGAGTCGAAATACTGGATAGGTCATTAGATACTCACACACACTCACTCACAGACAGGAGGAGAAGGACTCAAGGATACGATTCAAGGACTGCAGCAACAAAAACACAGGTGAGCGGGCAGAGCGCCAAAGTAGGAATTCTATTCTGGTTTTTTTAGGGGGGCGGGTACACCAGTTGCAATCAATATCACCCAGTAGGCAAAGAAACACCCCCCTTGAGAAAACAAAACACGCAAATGCATGGAACGGTGTTCCAAAAACTCATTAGTTAGAGGAGTAATATATAAAGTTGGCCCAGACACACTCAAGTGCCGAAATGTTTTGGCCGTAGCGCATTTCCGCATTCCACTGCTGTCCTTGGACGGCGCCCACCCACCCACTGCCACTCCCCCCTTTTTGTTTGGGGATAGGCCTCCTTTCGGACCGACCATTTTATTGCACTTTGCGTGACCTTAACCATTTGGAGCGGTCCGTGTCATGACACGGTTATATATGTACGCCAGACGTTATCTAACTGGAACTGGAATTCACTTAGTTAAATTAGCAGCCAGGGATGCCCTGGATTAAGTTTAGTTACGACTTGGGTGGGTTCTGGCTAATACACCTACATATATGTATCTGAGAGCTTGAACTCTGCTGACCCGCAAGGGGATTCCATGGTTTGCTAGCCCTGGTCTAGACTCCTTGTTTGGACAGTTGGAAAAGCTGCCGCATTTCCATTTAAGGCTCCAACACGTACGACACGCGCTTCGTCGCCGTTAGAACGACCTTATATACACATACGGTTAGTGAAGCCACCCAAAAGGGGCTCAGTTGGTCATCAATTATTAATACGGTCCAATCTCAATATAAGGAACAGCATAACTTGTAGCTCATTTGTGTTTAACAACCACGGTTTTATATACATACTTTCAAATATTATTTTCAAGAAATTATCATTATCACTAGTTGTTTGCACACAAGAGTATTTTGTGACGAATGCTAATGATAATGAACTTGAAATAAGTTCATATATTAAATTAATTAAATATGTATGTATATTAAATTAAACATTTATATTTTATATGACTCATCCTAGTCAAAGTTAGGCCATGTAGACTGTATTATTGCCCACTTCAGTTAAAACACAAAGAAAAACAAAGTAAACGGAGCAAAGAAAGAAGGAGGTTGGCTTTATCTAGAGATACGGTGTTGATGACGTTTCTCAATCATTTATGTTTTTATATCTGTAATTCCCTTATCAATGCTTGCGACTGGAATCGGTGTAATATATGTGTGATATATAGCAACGATGTCGGTGGCCGGGCTACGACAATGTCTGCTGCTCTGGAGCGTCGACTACTGGAACTTGGAAGGTAAAACGCTGAAAAGTGCGGATCTGCTTTGCATTTGCTTTTCAGTTGCCACTTCAGTTCAGTTCAGTTCAGTTTTCTTTGGTTGCTCAGTTGTTTCTCCGTTTTGTTTGGATGGTTCAAGTTACTCGAATTGCTCCACCACAATGCTTTATTCAATGAATATGCAGCGATAATAATATCTGAATCTGCACCCCTCCCTTCCGCTTTAGTCATGGCTGAAAATGTCTTCAAGTCGCACGATATCGGGCTGCGGGCGCAGAAGAAAATCCTCTCACGCATGGCCACCAAAAACATTGCGAAGACTTTTATCGACGGGACGACGGCCTCGCTGCTGGACAACCTGTACAGGCTGTGCAAGATGCACACCGGCAACAAGGCCAAGGCGGAGAAGCTGATCAAGAACATCATCAAAATCGTGATCAAGATTGGTGTTCTCCACCGGAACAATCAGTTCAGCGAGGAGGAGCTGCAAAAGGCGGAGAACTTTAAGAGAAAGTTTCAGGTGAGACTACTTTTGTTAAATACTATAACTGATGTTACGTGTTTACCCATAACTAGAACCATTTATTTCTAAAACTGAAACTTTATTACATTTTGCAGAACACCCAGCTCTCCATCATATCATTCTACGAGGTGGACTTCACCTTCGACCTGGCCTACCTGCAAAAGTCAATAGCCGATTCGCAAGTGGCGCTGAAGTCGATTGTGCAGCCGCATCTCACAGAGAAATCGCTGGGCCGCATCGACGAGGTGTTCGATTTCTTCGGGGAGGAGACGCTGCTGGAAACGGCTTTCCGATCGGACTCCCCCTATCGCGAGGTGATGGGAAAGATTGTGGCAGACATAAATGCGGCGATGGAAACGGGCGACATTTGAGGAGATCCGGCAACCGAACTGAGCTGTCATTGCGTGCTATGAAAAAAAGGCTATCATCAAAACCAAAAAGCAGCCAGTAGCTAGTTGCGAATGGAAAATGCTTGCTTAAAAGCCCACCCACCAACACCAAAATACAAAGTCTAGATATAGATATGAAACAGCAGCGACAGTAAAGGAACGGCTGGGAAAGAAGGGAAAAAAGACATGTGTTTAAACAAGAGTTTAATTTAGTTTAACTAGTGATATACCATTGACAACAATATCAAAAGTGTAAAGACGTCCGTATTGATTATTTTGATGACAACGTTAACATTTGTGTACTCAAGGTCTATATAGTAATAATTAGGAGAAACTAAATGCATTTCGCCAAAGGAATTCACCACACGGAAATTGTAAACTCGAGCAAAATGCTTTTATCGGTGTGTAAGTCGTTGATCGTATGCGTGCGTGTAACTTTATATGTGTAAGTCTAAGTGTTAAATGGAAAATACTTCAGCACATAAGCAATTATTCGTGGTCTAATTTTTGATACTCTAAAAACTCGCTGTATCCAATCGCAATTACCTGTATATGTACCCCACAAACACCGTCTTAGTCAGACCCCTACGTACTTAACTGATCGTTGCTGATCGGAATCACCTAAATCACCTGTAAGCGTTAGTCCATGCTAAGTTGTTTATTCTAAGTTGTCACCATAACCTGTTTACACCGCGACTTCTTTTGTCTGAGAGTCTGGTTCGCACATTAATTTGTATTTCTATATGTATTCCAAGCCTCAAAGGGGTCAGTAACCTTAAGCATTATTTATGATACTCCCACAATGATATTCCAACAACCCGAAACATATCGAAACTATCTGAAATCAAACAACGCTAAGGGGACAATAAGTTGTTCGAATTTTTCAATGACTTCTGGATCGATATTTCAAGCGGAGGAAGCACCATTTTAGTCGTTTAGATTTTAAATATTTATTTGTTTACCAACATAACAATGTTGACTATAAAAATAAAAGCAACAATTACCAAAAAGTCTTAATTTCTATACAACTATTACTCGGCCCTCTTTTTGTTTAAAACTTCGTTGGTCTCCTCGCCAGCTTCGAGTTGCTGCTGCCGGAACAGCTCGATCAGCTTCTCGGTGGCGGTTTGCGGTGTATCCAGTGGCTTGGATGCCTCTTCATTGGGGTACACCTGGGAATCTGGTGAACGCAGCAGGAATGGTGTCCACGGGCCCTGGATGGATGGCACATCCGTGTGCCACATTTTACGCAGACGCAGCGAACTGGAGCTGCCGTTTTGGGTCTTTAGCAGGTCAATCCACTTGGAGATCTCTTCTTGAGTGCTGTTCCTGCAGCTCATCCACTCGCGCTCGCCGTTCACTAGAAATAATTTAATTTTTTTTTAGTTTGTATTGTATTGTATTGTTTTAAAATTATAACACCTGAACCTTAGGCAATTGTTTGGTGAAATTAAGAACTCTTGGAGCATTTAGGTATTTGGTTTTAAACAAATTTTTAAAAACAGAAAACCTTTTTTTATAGTTTTGATTAGAATAGACTAGGATTTTTAAAATGTAAAACATGCTTATTTGTAAACAACGAAAGTAAGGACTAGTCTATTTAACTAAAAATTTAAACCAAGTATTATTAGATTTGATGTTGAGTCTCTTAAAAAATGAAGTACTCACAGTACTCGCCCACCAAAACTGGGGTGCGATGGCGTCTGGGCTTCACATAGACCACAATGCCGGGATTCTCCTTTGCGAAGTCCACCAAGTGGTTCTCAATAAAGTCGCTGTAAAACGTTTATAATAATTTAAACTATTTTTAAAGTACAATAATATTATTTTTCCATACCGCATGCCCCTGCTGGATCCATTATTCTTGCAGAACTTTAGTGTAATCCTCTGCAGTTGGCAAACATAGCGTCCAAGTCCATTTTGCAGGGGAGCTCGTGGGAAGCCAGACTTCAAGAACAAGTGGCTGTTTGACATTTTATAATTATATTTAATTCAAAAGTGTTTTAAACAAATTATTAAGACTTTTCGTAATCAGAGAAGACGTAACCTCACGCCGCAAACAGCTGACAGCTGTTTCTCTATAGATAGTGATGCCAAGTTTCCTGTTTTAAGATTTAGCTATAGTTTATATACATTCTTATTTTAAAATATTTTGATAAAAAATAATGTAAATGTTTTTTTCCTAGTATAAACTGAAATAGGAAAAAAAATTAACAATATACAAGTAATAAGACACATAACTTCTTGTATATATATTAGCTGATTTTAACTATTTGAGTTGGTCACATTTTCCCAGCCAAATACTCATCTCTGACAAAAGACAGGGCTGTTAAACACTCTCCCACTTTTGATAAAGAAGAAGCGGCACAAAAGGGAATACAATAATGCAGGCGAAGCGTCGTTTTTCTTTTGATTGGAAAACCTCGATGCCGGAGTAGAAAGCGTGCAACGTGTAAAAGTGGAGCACATGCAGCTGGTCTTATCAGTTGTAAATACATAGAAAAATGGCCACAGTAAGCACTAAAAACACACATTTCATTTGAAATTGCATGTAAACAGAGTCTTGGCATTCAGATCTTTGCAGGCTCAAAGTTCTCCAGTCATGCTCTAGTGGAAGAAGAGGGGGAAGAGCAAGAGGAAGAGGAGGAGGAGGAGGATTCCGCTGAGTCTGGTTCCACGTCTTCGTTCAGTTTGCAGGAGTGCATCGATGAGTTTAGGGCACGCCGCATCCGTAGGGTATCCACCCAAAGTCGCGACTGCGAGACCAACCACAATAACAACAACAACATGCCCAGGCAGATGCCCCGCATCCGAAGGACCATGGATGCGGACCTAATCAACCAGAATCGCTGCAACAAGGAGCAGGAGCGCAAGGGCAAGCCCTGCCAGAATGGCTTCTGCTACTGCTTCACCAGCGACAGCGGGGATTGCGGCTCCGCGGCGCCGCCACGTGACCAGCACGTGCGACTACCACGGCGTAGCAGGCGTTCCGAGAGCACTAAGGTGCGTTAATCTCCATCACACTCAACAACCCAAATAAAACAAATGCTAACCCTTTTTTGCAGCCCGCCGCCAAGCAGAATAATCTGGGCAGTCAGCGGCAGCAGGCGGACAAACGTCGTCAGAGCGAGCCGGCCAACATAAAATCCAGCTTCAAATCTCCTTTAACCGCTGTCAGTCGCTTGAGAGCTGTGGGCGGCGACGATGAACCGCTCATCCACATCATTCAAGAGCTGCACGACAACTGTGTGGTGTCCGAGGTGCGCGTAAATCGCCAAAAACTGCCAATTTCGGGCTCCAGCTGCCGGCACAGGTGCTCCCAAACCATGAAAGGCACCACCAAAATGCAATCGTACGAGCCCTTAGCCTACAAACCCTCAGCCCCGGTTTTGTCCAACATCAGCGAGCAGGAATCAGCTGTGGAAGAGGGACTGGACGAGGATGTAATGCCCACGGAGCCCACAAGTCGTAGAAGTTCCCGATCTCGTCGAAGTTCTGGCGCAGGAGGCCGACTCCTGCAGAAACGCCTCTCTCTGAGTCAAGTCAACTTCAAGACACGCGATTCCCAGCAGCCGCCGCCGAAACCACCGCGCCGCAGCTCCCAAAGTCTGGACGGCAAGCTCTCGCAATCCTCGCTCACTTCCACGAATCCTTCGGTGCGGGAGGCGGAACGAGTTCTGGACGAGTTTCTGCGCAAACGTGGTGTTCAAGTGCCTGGCAGTAAAGAAGACTCTACGCGCCGGAAGGACGGCCAGCGCAGATCCTATCCCATGGGTAAGTAATCAGCCCAGGCCCAAGACAATGAAACCGTAACCAAATCGAATTAGATATACAAATTACCAAAAGAATTAATTTAACTAAAATTCAAATGTATTAACCAAATAAAGAGTTGTGTTCCAAAACATTTGAGTTACGGTTTCATTTGCTGGACTTTTGGATTGTCAATGATCTCACGAGTTTTGTGTCACCATCTAGCTGAGGTGGAGAAGCCCAGGAGCCACAAACATCTGCCCACCTGCCCCTCACTCAGCGACATTGAGCGCGTGGTGGAGTCCAAACGGGGCTCGAATTACGCCCGGAATATACGTCAGGAAAGCAGCCGGAAAAGTGCGCCCGCCAAGGACATAATTCTTGGCTGGACGGAGCCCAAGATCACCGATATGCTGAACTACGAAGGCAAGACAGCCAGCGAATTTAGGACCCAAGCAGAACCGCAAGTGGCCATTGGATGGCAACTGCCTAAGGCACAACCTCAGCCTGTAGTTCCAAAGGTTTCCTTGGACACCGTGGATGGTAGTATGAGCGAGAACCTAGCATCAAATATGGTGCACAAGGAGACGCCCATCAAATATCCCAGTGGAATTAGAACAGCAGGCGGTCAGGCCAGCCAGAAGTTCATCTGGGGCGAGCAGTGGCGAAATCTATCCCCCTGGAAGGGTAACAAATCGAAAAACTTGGGGAAGAAGTCTAAGAATTTCCTAAATACCTCCAAAAAGAAGATCCTGCGCTTCGTGTCGCCCAAAAAGTCGAATCAACAGGAAAATCAAACGGAGGAGCAGATCAAAATCACTCCAAAACAGTGCACTGTGGGCGTGCAGACCTCCACTTCTCAGCTGGATTTGCATTCTCAATCTCCGCCAGGCAGCTACCACTCGCCCATGCAGACCACGCCCTCGGGAACGACCACATCTACCCGCCAGCAGTTGGACAGGGAGCAGCCCTACTTTGACTTCGAGCGCAAGGTGGATGCTCCGACGCCTCCAAAGAAGTTGCCCCGTGCTAATAGAGCTCGCAAGCTGGATTTCCAAACGGAGGCGGCACCCACCACATATCGCTCGTTCCACAAGGACCTCGATCAGGACGTTACCATCACCAAGATGGGCTATCTTCTGAGCAGTATCCGAGCCAAGCTGGAGGCTAGTGATGAACGGGCATTGCGCACTTTCCGGGTAAGTTTCTTTTTGTTATCTACATACATAATTTTAAAATAATTAAAACGAAAACGTTTCGTTTTCCTCCTTAATACTTAAAAGCTCAATATTTCCTGAAACATTCAAATCCTTATTTGCTATAACTTCGCAACGCTGGAACATTCACTTTAAGAATTCTTTAATCTTTTGAACAAACAAATTTAAAAAGTACTTTGAGGGAACTTGAGGGATTGCGCTTTTGGCGAGTTTTTTGTTGTTAATTTTTGAAAACCAAATGGTCAATCTTTATTGACGAGTCCGGGATAAAGCGACAAACTTAAATACTGAGCAACTAGACAACTGTGAATATGGCGCCCAGGGCGTAGTGATCCGAACCCAGATAGTGGTTGGGGATCTGACCCACGCTGCTGCAGCGGTTGATGGATGGCAGTGAATAGACGCTGATGGGCAGAAGCTTGTGCCTGCTCCGTGATCCAAGCGAGCGCAGGATGTAGTCCACAGTGATCCAGTTGTTCTGGTATGTGGAGGCTGTGCCCTCGCCGGGATCGATAAGCTCGAAGCGCAGAGGCGCAGGATTAACTTCTGATTCCACTTCATCGCCCTTTTCGATAAGTAGTTCAATGGGAGACGAGTTCTTCAGACTGTTAAAGTCACCAGTTAGGACAATAGGTGTGTCCGTAGAAAATGAGTGAAGCTCCTCTAGTATTCTGCCCACCTGAGCGCAGCGCACATCATCTCTTTTAGGGTTGTACAACAAATGCGTGGTGGCCACTACGAACTCCTTCTCCTCGTCCTGCTTCTTTTTGAAACGAAACTTGGCAAACAGGGCCACATTCTCGCGATTGAGCAGAGCCACCTCCTGGTCATGCAGTTCGACAGCTCGGTGGTCCAGCAACTGGAACTTTGAGGAGTCATAGACAATGGCGCATCCGTCCGTGCGATGTCCAGTCTTCTTTTTGTAAACATAGGCCAGTCGTTTGCCGTTACCCATGCGCAAGCCTTGAACGAGCAGTCCCAGGTGATCAAACTGCATCTCCTGCAGGCACAGGATGTCTGGATCCAGTTTGATCAGCTCCCGCTGAAGATTCTGCTGGCGGCGACGCCAGCTGAGAAACTCCTGTGGGATGCCCACGTAGAGGAAGAGGTGCTCCAGCAGAAGGTCCTGGGCCAGGATGTTGTACGAGACCAGCTTGAAGGTGGACGACTTGGGGGGAGCTCGCACTCTAGGCTGATATCCCACTGGCGTCCACCGCCTGTTGAAGTCGTAGCCCGTCTCCATCGCCTCCGATTTTGGCTTGCGCTTTCCGTTTGTCTTTTTTGTGTGGCTGCTTCTGATGATCTGGATCCTGGCCTGGAGTGCAGCGGTGCGGAGCAGGGACTTGTACATCTCCTCAGGTTCGCCTCGCCATGTGACTGCGCTCCTGGTCCCCCTTAAATGCCTCTGTTCCGGATTGTTTGCGGATGGCGTTCGAATTTGCCAGGGGAATGGGGAAAGTATGCTGTTGTCAGCTGTTTTTGCTTGTTGCGTCGTCCGTTTTGCGCTCTTCGCTGGGCTGCACTGCAGCTGATATCGATAACACTCTGGCATTCAGACTATCGAAATTTGAATTTGAAATGGGAATATGAGAGCAATTAAAATAGAGTCCACACTCAAGGGGCTTAAGTTTTTATATCTAAAAAATAGCACAGTATTAACTTTTTTTTAAAAATGTTAATTACAGAGAAAACTAAGTGTTCTTGGGTCAATTATTTAATGCTTTTTCAAGTAATAATCTTAATTTGTCGTATCGGTCTAAAAATTCATTTTATCATAACTTGATGTTAATTAAATACAAGCTTGAAACAAATCATAACTGTTAAATAGAAAAGGTTCGATTCAGTCAAACCCCCTTTTTTTATATAATATATATATTTTATATATTAATTATATTTTATTAAAATTACCTATTCAATTTAACATATGTCCAGGACTGCTCCCGCTTTGATACCCGTGAGCACAGTCATCATCAAGCCGAGAGCTTCGACTGCACAGACGGTCCCAGCAGCCTGGTAACCACATCTGTGGCCACTACACGTCTACAGTGCGATCTCGACAGCGAACCCATTTATTCGGAAATCGAGGAGGATTGCCTGCGGATTAGAGGAAGTCCACATCATGAGGTTAAGACCGCAGCGAAGATAACCAATCCGACCCCGACTCCCACACCAACGGGAAGCTCCACGGCATATGTGAGTGAGTCCATGCCGGATCCATCGCCTTCGCCCGCCGATCTCAGTGCCATGTACGCCAGAGTGCAGAAGACACCGAAGAACTCACCGCAGACGAAGTCCCTGGTTGTCCAGTCAGAGATAAAAGTGCAGACCACTTCTCAGCCACAGCTAATTCCGCCTGTTAGCCAGCCTCAGATAACTTATAATGTTGTACAACCTAAGAAAACCAGCCAGCCTATGCCACCGCAGTCAATCCCGCAGGCGATTCAACCTCCATTGAGTGCTCCCAGTCAGCCTGTGGCTTTGGGTCACTTTCTGCAGGAATCTATGAAGAACGGCAACTTCTTTCAGTTCATGCCACTGCCCGAGGAACCGAGTGCAACTGAATCCTCCTGCTCAGCCAGTCAGACCACAGAGTCCTCTGTGATTCGGCAGCCCAAACTGAAGTCGCCGCCTCCGATAACCCATCAATCCCTGAACAATATCAGCGAGCAGCATTCACCGCCAAAAAAGAACCGAAATCTCTCCCGTTCGGAACTCTCCCTGCAGCGCAGCGAGATCTTTCTGGACAATCTGTGTCGCAGTGAACTGGTGCTGGATCGTCCCGAAAAAGTGCACAATGTAAGTGGCCTCGAAAGGGTTTTACCTTCCATCATATCGCTTATTAAGAACCCCTTTACAGACCAGTTCCATTGCGGATTCCGTGTCGTACGACATGCCCAACGAAGGCGCCGAGGAGTTGTACGCCGATTACAGCTTGGGAGGGGCGTGCAGTGCCGGCAGCTCCTTTGTGGCAAATGACTATGGCTCTGGACAGATTGAGCCGGAGCCGGCCAACCAGAGCACTCCCAAAAAGAAGCAGAGCCAGCGGTTTACAACCAAGGTAGAGATTTTTGTTGACTCCCATTAGAGCTTAAGGCTTTCGCTTGCATTCGACACTGTAACTTCTGTAAATAGCCACTATCACACTGTACTCATCCGAATCTTTCCGAAACGCATTTGAAATATAAGATTGTTTTTGCTTTGGCCATAAGAAATTGAGTAATAGTCAATCTTTCAGCCATCGCGCAATCTGACCATCGACATAAACGATGGCCCAGTCACGCCACTGCGTCAATTTGGCCAGAATCTCAGCTTCAGTTGCCCCACAACCCCACAGCAGGCAGTGGCTGGGACTGGGGCTGGGGCTGGGACGGAGGATCCCACTGGCCTCCACAACAGCAGCAGTTTGGGTGAGCTGATGCAGACGGTGCCCATTCCCACCGACAGCCAGCTGATGTCGGTCAGCGCTCTGGCCCGCTACCGCCTGCTGAAGAACGCTCTGCGTCGCTCGTACCGCAAGGGGAAGGATTTCTTTCTGGCGGAGAAGCAGCGACTGACTCACAGCCTAAATCTCTCGCGAGATCAGTCGAATCAAACGGAAGGGGAGCTGGACAGCAGCACCTACTATGCCAGCTTCAATCTGGACTCCCTGCTGAATGAGTCGCTGAACCCCAATGAGCAGTTGGCCCAGGCAGTGAGCATATGTCGCCAGATGCCAGAGCTGGAGATCTCCGCCGAGATGGTGGAGGCCGAGCGACTGCTGCTCTTCTCCAGCCTGCGGAAGTCGTCTCCACTTGGGTCGCAACTAAATGAGGATGCTCTGGCCGCTAGGAGGCCATCCCAGTGCCTGCTAATCGATGCCATGGAACTGCCGGTGAGGGCGGATGTCAACCAGGATATGTTCTTCAACTACCATTACATCTGCACCTTTGAGTGCGGTGGACGCATTCGCTCCACGCAATCGGTGGAGTGCCAGGATGGATGCGCCTTCTTTCGGGACTGTGGCTTGGAGTTCTATAGCGGCGAGAAGGCGGAAACCTTGGAGCTTCACTGCCAGATCTTCATGCTGCGCCTGCGCAAGGTTTCCACGCTGGCTCTGGAGCCTGCCAAGTCACTGGTGAGTGGATTTAGATCTCCAAGGAAGCAGTTCCCTAATGAGTTACCTTACAGCGACGTGGCAGTGGGAATTTGGGCTCCGCCAATTCTAGTTCTTCCACGGGCTCTGGTGGCGAACAGATCATTTCGCGCTTTCGCCTGCATGCTTCTTTCAAAGTACAAGCCATGAACTTGGCACCCTTTCAACTGGTGGCCAGTGAGACGAGATCCAGCGATAAGATTTGCCTGCGCAGCTCGCGATCCTGGCAATTGCCCTTAAGTACACACACAAAGTCCACGAATCTGGGCCCGGCTATATCCATTACTGGACGAGTGGACTTGCGGCTGCCCAAGGCCCGTTTCGCTGGCTACCTAAATGTTCAGGACCCGAGGAGCAAACACAACTGGAATCGGAGATGGTGCAGTCTGGATGGCGTGCAGCTATCCGTTTGGCAGCACGAAAATAATCTGCCAGATGAATCACCCCTTTTTTCGCTCGAGCTACCGGGATGTGGGCAATCTTCGATAGCTGCTGCTCCGCGGGAACTGTGTGCCCGGGCCAGAAGCTTTCTACTGCAGGGCAAAGAATCTGAATACGAATCGGGAGTCTTCTTTGCCGCCGATACTCAATCTGAGCTCTCCGAATGGCTGGCGCACTTAAACGAGGCTCTGGAATTTGCCAGGCACTGGCTGAATTCCATCTGACAGCAGTTGCATTCCCTAGAGATTTTTATTTTTATATGTGTTGAAGTTTTCTATTTATATTTGCTAGTATTTAAGTTATGCCCAAACATTTCTGTTTTTATTTGTAAATTAGAGTGTTTGCCCTGCAAACTAAGCCGCTCGAATGCCTTACATAGGGCTGGATATACACAGTTTTTGCTTAGGTTTAAGAACATATCTATAAGAACTAACATTCCTTGGCCTTGAGGGGATATAGTCATTGGATCTGAACCATCTAATCCCCGTGTTCTGTGGGCTTGCCGTTCACGTCACAACAACAACAGTTTATTACATACATAATGTACATGGGGCTACGATAAGTTGATAAGATACAGATACGATTATATATTTGATATAGGTTACAATATGATACACAATGTATGTTTATATGCGCTGGTTGCCCCCGGTTATCTGCGGAATCCATGCGGTTATCCAAGCTCACATCCCCACATCCTCACATTCGTGCCTAGTTAGTGCCTACGCATAACTATTACATTTAAGTATATGTACTATTTAAGCTGCTTTGTAATTTTGTTTTCGTTTTCGTTTTCGTTTGCTCATTACAGTGCAAAACATAAGAGTCTGAGGTTATGTTTGTTGTGGTATTGTTTTCCAAGCAATTTACATACTTAACTTGTACACATTACTTAAGCACTTACTAATCTCTATTGATCTGACGTTGGGTCACTTTAAACTGTACTCTGCTTAATGCTTAGGTTCTGTATAATCTGTTTCCGATTTGGTGTCTGATTCTGTGTGCGTTTTCCATTCGCTTGCTGCTGATAACTAATTGATGGGAATCTATGGATCTAGGGATATGCAGGAGCGCAGTGCAAGTCGGACTTTTTTTTTGAAGGATTTGGTTTTAGGCTCAGGCCAGCACATATTTCCACACTCGATTCGTCTGGTGGTTGGTTCCGATTTCGGTCACATACAGGGCTGATCCATTCACACTGACCGCCATGGAGTGCGGGTTCTTGAACTCGCCCCAGTGCCCGATGATCGTCTCGGAGCGCGGATCAATGGTGAATCCCCGCACGGGCAGCATGGAGGTGGGTCCGTTCACTGCGAACACTATGTCGCCATAGCTGGCCACCCCAAAAACGCGTCCCAAGTCCGGTTCCTGGATGGTAGCCGCCGGCTCACCCTCTCCATGGGAGGATATCAGTCCAGCCCTGTCAAACAAATGTCGTTGATATAAATTGTACATTTTTAAAGTATAAGATATATATCCTTACTTGGGACAGACTACGCGCATATTCTCCCTGTCAGCGATGCACAGAAGATCCAGGTGTTCCAGCAGTGTTATAGCATGGGGAACCTGCAATGAGAGGAATTCTGCATAATGGCTGGGTTAGAAAATGTCAAACCATTCAAAGGTGCCTTACAAATACAATATTTATTTTAAACGATAGTCAATTTGTCAAAAAAATATATAAAGCTTAAAGGTTTTTGAAGAATTATACATATACCATGGAAAAGTATATACAAATTTACTAAGAATTCATATACCAAGGGAATGGCAAAAATACGTTTCCAAATAAATGAAATTGTGTTTACACAAATTATATATAAGGACCAAAAACAGCATGATCTTCCCACTCAGTATGAAAATTAAGTATACGCACCGGGTGGCTGGGGAATCGTACGTAACAGCTTGCCAGCGGCATTGAACTTGAGTATGCGACTATTGCAGTACCCATCAGCAATAAAGAACTGTGGATTGGGATAACAGTGGATATTAGGTACGAAATTATTTGGACAGCTGCCTCTTACCTCTCCGGTTGTGGCCACTGCAATTGAAGTGGGCTTGCACAGGTGCTTAACGGATGATCCCGGCCTAAATCGCTTGCCAATGGTTAGCAGTGGCTTGTTGCTAAAGGGTTTAAACTAATGGAAACAATGATTACAGCTAAGAGTCTCGTATTTAAATTAATCAAATATTTACCTTAAAGGCCTGGTGCATGGCCACATCCGTAATCCAGTAATTGCCGTGTCCATCGATGGTCATGCCATGTGGCATATAGAACATGCTCGATCCCCATCCGGACTTAATAGCTCCCGTCTTCGCGTCCAGCACGTAGATGGTATTCTCCTTAATGGGCCCGTATTCAATTAGGTAGTATATATTGCTCTCGTTGAAGGTACTGCAATAGCAATGACGAGAATGAGATTAAAGGATTTCACCAATTTGGTTTAATAAATGGCTGAACAAAATATTTTTATATATATGTTTAATAAGGAAAAGAAGCTAATTAAATAATTATTAAAAAAATATTATTTTGTCCACAACTGCGGTCAAAATATTAATAGTATGAAAATGTAAAGTGCTCAGAAACATACCTTTAAGGTATAGGACAGAATTTCTTTTAATTTATCATAATGCTTACTAACAAAATGACAAAAAGTATTCATCTTTTCTTTTTTTGAATATTTAAATATACCTATCGTAGTTGTGAATTTTATATTTGCCACATTTAGTTTATAGTATTAGCTTCAAAGCAATTTTTGGTTGGTATATCCATAAGTTTCTTAGCTATAACTACGATAAGTGCTATTATTTTGACCCTTTTCTGATAAATTTCGAAAACAAGATCATATTGCTGGGTTTGTGTTTTTCTATGTGCATATGCGATAGACACTTGTTACTAGGCAGCGACAGCTGTTGACCTACTTTACATCCCAGTAGCGCTCGGCACGGTGGAAAACCACCGGATTTCCCTGTGGATCCACGGCCACGGCGGTGACCTGGCCAAAGCTGTGCTGCTGCTGCTCGGTTGGCCAGTTCTCCACGAGCACTGGCGTCGGAACACTGGCCGCCGGAAGGGGCACATTGTCGTAGCTGCGTTGGTTCTGCAGGGCCAGCGCATCATCGTCCGCCAGGGGCAGTGGCAGATCCGACTGCTCCGGCTTCGCGAGTCCCTTCTCCTGGAGCCGCCGCTTGATGAGCGCCCGAACCTGGTCGAAGAAACGCTCGTTGAGATTCACACCTGGGCCCAGATCCACGGCCAATCCCGCTGGCAGGTGGTTGCTGCTGGGCGCCACACATCCGAGACTAATGGCCAGCAGTGCCACGAACAGGAGGCGCGACATTTTCTGGAAGTCCTGCGATTTTCTTCACCAAAACAAACGGAGATTTGGCTTCTAACTGCGCTCACTCGATTTTCCACACTGCCAACATCTGTTGGCGGTGTCTATATGTTGAGCTGGCAATAGATTAACTGACTTTGGCCCAAGCACACACACTCGCACACACAATCGCACACGCACTCCCACGCTGTTCGATTTTCGCTTTCAATGCGACGCCTGCGCCTTGGTCCTGCACAGTGGGACAAATTGAAAAAGTCAGGGAGACATACACCAATTAGAAAGGGAAAAAAACCTAATATCAAAAAAGATTTTTTTTATTAAGTACACAACAATAATTACATTGAGAGAATAATTTTAAGTTTGGAATTTCCGAGACCGTCATATATAAATATATTTACAGTTTTTATTAAGAAAATTAAAGTAACATAAATTTATAGTTTTGAAGACTTATACATTTAAACAGAATAAATGTATTATTATCTTCATCTTTTATCATGTACATTTTTAAAAAATATATATCTAAGCTCTGATTGAGTTTTGAAAATGGTTTCCCCCAAGTAAGTACAACTAAAACATATTTCATACCCACTGTGGCCCTGCCACAAGACATCGTGAATTTGGAAAGCCTTTATTGATTTTCCAATGGGTCCGCGTAAACAGTGAAGGCGAAAAGTAATACGACACTCGATACTATTTTATTCAGCACGAATACCGATAACAATTTGGGGAGATAAACTCGACACCATTACGTTTTTTAGAGCCGAACATTTTGTTCGGTTGTGGGGTTCTTGCCACCCCCTTTTTTTATATGTTGGTCTACGGAAGCATACAATCGGCAGTCAGTGTCTTTGACGTCACAGCGAGTCGTGCTGGCGGTGAGGGGGCGAGGCTTGAGGGGCGCTATCCGGGGTGGCTGCATCCTACGTCCCCCAATCCCAGTTCGGCTGGGTCCAAATATATCCGGTGTCGGTCATCGAGCAGTAGGCATTATAGTAGCGCCCCGGCGACCTGCGAAATGCGAAATGCGAAAGCAATTACACAAGCCGAATGTCCGGATAGGCTAATTCGATTTCCAGCCTGGCCTCTGCGGGGACTTAGCCGGAAACTCACCGGCAGTACGAGAACTGGGGGCACTTGCAGCGGAAGAGGCTCTGGAACTCCTCCTTGCACACCTCGTTCCACCAGCAGGTGCGCTGCAATGGATTGAAATTCGATTAGCCTAACCCGGTAAACAAAACCTCCAATAAACCATAGAGACCTCGGTCATGTAGCCATGGACACTCTGATCCGAATAGCTTCGCTTCGAGAGATGCGCCTGCACATGGCAAAGCGACAACGTCATAAGCAGAAGCAACAGTCGTGACGTCACGGGCAACAAAAGTGGGGCGGACTGTAGTAAGGCCAACAAAAAACAAACAAAGAAAACAATTCACAAATCGAACTATGGCGTAGAGTAGTTCTCCTACTCACCATCTTTTTGGTTTATTTTTTTTTGGTGCGTTTATTTAATCTCCGCTTGTAAAGTACAGTGAACACTTCACGTGCCGCAAGTCCTGCCTTGAATGTCGTCTGTTTTTTGTTTGCCTCCTGATGGGGCGGTGGCGTCGGCATCTCGGCTGCCTTGCATAAGCAAAGGAATTGGCCCCGTTCGCCGTCGGCTTTCAGCTTTCACTACTTTCACACTCGCACACAGCCGCAGCCACCGCCTGCAGTTGCACATCTGTTTTGGAGTGGTGTTGGTGAGCTTTTGGCCCATTTTCGGGAGGTAATTGCCACACTGTTTGGCTGCACTGGGTACATAAGAAAATACAGGGGACATCTACAAAATATTATCCAGGATTGCTTAAAATTGATTTTTTTCAATAATGAAATGAATTAATAAATGATTTTTGAAACTTATTGGACCTTAGAAAAAAAGTAATATAATACAAACTTTTATCGCATACAATATGTTGTTTTTTTATAAATATATATTTGGTCCTTTTTTTTTGGAAAATGTTGACCAATTTTTCAACTTTAAAAACCCATCCGGCAATCGAGAATCAACAAAGCACTTGCCAAAACTGTCAAAGTCTATTAAATTTCCATTTTTCTGCGAATATAATTTAAGACCACAAATCTATAAAATCTTGAAAAACAAACTTAAATTATTGCGAAAACATTAATGTAAAAAAAATAATTGGAAAGCGAAACGGCTCATATATGTTTGAATTGGTCGCATCAAAAATAAACAGTGCCCGCCAAAATGAAAAAAAGAATTTTTACTTGCATCATATAAGTACCCCTTAATAATTATAATAAATTATTTATGTGATTCTAACTCAGCAAAATTGTAGCTATAAATTCACAATAATATTTGAAAATTCTTTTGTTTGGTCTGTCAGTATTTCGGGCGACGTCATCTCATTCGTCTGATTGAAAACGCACGCGACATGACTCAGCAGAGGAAAAACAAAGAACAAGCAAAAGTGGCGGATGCTTAAAATAGTTTATAAAGTCATTTAGTGGGCAAAGTATTTTCATATTGGCCACGTCAAATTTACAGTTTCAACAGGTAGAAAATTATGAAAATTCCTTTATATCTAGCAACACTTGGGGGCGTAAAAATTTGTTCTGGCACTTTCCATAAATTCATTTTGAGATTTGAATTTTCTGAAAAGAATTTGCAGGCATTTTTATATGTAAACAAAATACATTTCAAATACAAATTACTTGTTTTTGTGTAGGTTTTGTGTTTAGAATGTGGAGCACACAATGCACAAACAAGTTTGTTCTGGAAGCAAACAATCAGAAACACTATTTATTCAGCTCCGAAAAAGGCTTGTCTGTGGTGACTAAGATGGAACATATAGAATTTTCTTTGGGTCAGCATGATAGCCGGCGTCTGAGTCTCCAAATCATCGACACCCACGGAAGCCAAACAAAACAAGCTGAAATCGTTCGCAGATTCGCACCAAATATATGTGTTTGGCATATATAAATTCTGTATGTTCTCTATAGAGAGTGAATGTATGACGCTCGTTTAAATTTAGATGGCAAATAAATTTTCATATTTTTAGCCCACGGTGGAAGATGTAAACACTTGGTCGAGGGTATAAAACAGTGTGAGTGCTAGCAGAGCTCCATCAAAATCGCAACAGCCGCGAACCGAAAAAGACACGCGAATCGAAGTGAATAAAATCGAAAAAGGTACGAAAAAGGATACATCCACCTGAGAAAATTCGAATACAATATAAGGACAATAAGTGCAATAATTAGTGAAGTGTTTGGCTCACTATCGTCTCGTTTCTTGACCAAATTAGATGTCCGTAGTGCCCCTGATGTTCCGTGATTGGTGGGATGAGCTCGACTTTCCCATGCGCACCTCGCGCCTCTTGGATCAGCATTTCGGCCAAGGACTAAGGAGGGATGACCTCATGTCCTCGGTGTGGAACTCCCGCCCCACAGTGCTGCGTTCCGGCTATCTGCGCCCCTGGCAGAAGAACAGCCTGCAGAAGCAGGAGTCCGGCTCCACCCTCAACATCGATAGCGAGAAATTCGAGGTGATTCTGGATGTCCAGCAGTTCTCACCGTCCGAGATCACCGTCAAGATCGCGGACAGGTTCGTCATCGTGGAGGGAAAGCACGAGGAGAAGCAGGACGAGCACGGATATGTCTCCCGTCAGTTCTCCAGACGCTATCAGCTGCCAAGTACGTTCAAGAAGTTAAAGAACTATCTTCTTTTGATAAAGATAAATATCTTAAAATACTAAATAATATTATCTTAAATATACTTAACTTGTGATGCAATATCTTCGATGTTAACCAAATATCCTACTTACAGATGATGTCAATCCCGACTCGGTAACATCCTCCCTCTCCTCCGATGGCCTGCTGACCATCAAGGCGCCCATGAAGGCGCTGCCACCTCCATCGACTGAACGCCTCGTCCAGATCACACAGACTGGACCCTCTTCCAAGGAGGACAATGCCAAGAAAGTGGAGACCTCCACGGCCTAAGGCTGAATTTTATGTGCTGCTTCCAGTGTTAGTTAGTTTATGTCTACGTGTGCCTTAAATATTGGATTTTTACAAATTTTATATCAATTAAAACTAAAGAAAAAGATACGTTTTTCGAATTGTTGGTTTATTGATATGATTTTTTTGAGTCAACCAGTTTTAGCAATATTAATAAGGGGTACCATCATCATTTTTTTCGAAATTTGGTCCAACACAAAATTTTTGAGCTGTGAATGCCAGTTTGTTAGACATTTTTTGACGAATTCAACGAGGTATGGCATTCCAACATTGAACCATTATAATTTATAGTTTCGATCAAAAAACTGCAATTTAAACTCATATTTTGGAAGTCGCCAATTTTAACTTTTCCACTGCTCTACAATCTCTATGACCAGTTTAAGCAAACATTTTAACTATCTTGATTATGCTATTTAATAAGAAATGTCCCCAGTTCTAACCGTTATATTTTTATTATTTATTTTCCTCCACCATTATCTAAGGATTATTTAATAATAGCAGTTCATCCATAGTAACAGAGTTTCTCTCGAGATTTTGTTGTAATAAGGCTCTTGCCCTTTCAATTTGTTCGGGCGAAAGTTCATCCTTGTAGCCATTAACTTTTTCACGTCGCAAGAAACTAAAAGATTGGGTTGGAAATTATATTAAAGGAAAGTTTTACTAATGCCCTTACTTGAAGTCCGTTTTAATGCCGAGACTTTCATGAGATCTCTCCCACTGATGGTTCGTCGTTGGATTTTCTGTGGCAAAGAAAGCAAAATAAAAAGTTTCTCAAATCAAATTAAAGTAATTTAACTAACTTTTCATTTCCTCGAATGACAAATGCTTAAGAAGTCTCTCCATTTGCGGTTCGGTGACAGATTTATTCACGAAACAGGAGGCATCGTTGATCACGCCACGTAGATCTTTTTTCATTCTTTCGAAACTAGTGTAAAAGATCCAGGGTTCATTTCGAAGTTGGTAAAATTCGCAGGCATGTTCAATGGTTTCATGTGCGTAGTTTCCGTTGGACAAGAGGTCGTCAAAATATTGCTGCAGTGTTTTTCCAGTGAAAGCACCATATGTGACACCGTGGTGATATCTAGATACCCAGGCATCTAGGGGATTCCGAAACACAAAGATCACCTTGACTTTTCCTTCCCAAAGCTTTTTGGGCAGCAAGGCGAGGGGAAGATGAGTTTTTATGAGTCGTGGTGATTTGCACTCCTCTACAGGCCTTAATGATCTTTCCAAATTGCCATATTTACGAAGTCATACCTAAAAATCAATGTGGCTTAAGGTTATCAACACTTTTAGTAAAGAACATTAACAACCCACTCCAAAAACGGACTACGTAGTTCTTGATCTGTGGCCAACGCCCCCTCAAAATCGGTATTGTTGAGCAGTAGCCACACCATTTCCTGCATACAAGTAGTTCCACATTTCGGTGGCGTTACTACCCACACATCATCGTCTCGAACCTCCAGGTCATGCACTAAATTAAAAAAACAATCCATGTTTTTCCTATGGAAATGCTTTCGTTTCGTCCAGTCCTTATTAATTAGGTTGGTCGGATAACTCTGTGGCGTGACCGGAACGCGTTCCATGGCGGTAGCTTACTGACTTGATTTACAAAAAAGTAGAGCTAAAATAAAACTTTTCGGTGATAAGAATTGTTTGCATTTTTTATTTGTTTTAATTGCATTGTATTTGCATTTTTTTTAAATTTATAATTGCTTTTATTTCTGTTGATAACTGAAGTGTATGGCTGAATGTCATATATAAGATAAGACAGAGACTTAAGTTGAGTTATAAACATAAATTATTCCGTATTATATACTTATCTCGAGCTCTCGTTATTCGATTTTATTAGTAAAATAGGTGAAAAAGTTGGTCCAACTCAAAAAAGGTCACCATTAATGACTCCTTAAAAAATATACACATTTAAAATAGAAAGTTATTTAATTACCTCCAAGGACAAAAAAATAATAACAGGCGGGAAAATGGGCGAAAACTTCCGGTTACACTACAAAAAAATTTAAGTAGCTTAACTGCAGCGGAAAACAAGACTTGAATTCCTGCAGCAAATTGTCCATTTTAAATTTTCAGCAGTGTTATTAATTATAATAGATGTTTGTTTGTTTATATTATTTCAATTTCAATTGGTTAAATAAATTTCATAAAGTGCAACATAAAGCACAATTATAAAAATATATACAACTAAATGGATCTAGTTATGGATATAGTTATCGAAACTCGTTCACTTTTAGTTAACTTAATGTTGACAAATACAAATAAATATTTTTTAATACTTCCAGTGCCATGCGTAAGAATTTTGGCAATACGTAATGAAAAAAGCAGTGTATCACTTTCTGTTTTACATGTTATAAATTAGTTTTCTTCTGCCATTTTGCACTTTAGAATTGGATAAATCAACAAAATGTTTATCGACATTATTATAACAAGCAAACACTTTATTTATCTCATTTATGCAACTGTAAGATTAAGTGTCATTATCTCTTAATTATTTTATTGTTTAGGGATTATTTAGGAGGAGCAGTTCTTCCATAGTCACAGATTTATTTTTTAGAACCGCTTTTATACAAGCGTTGGCCTTCTCTATTTGCTCGGGCAGAAGTTCGTCCTTGAAACCGTTGACCTCTCCTCGTCGCACGAACCTGCAAGATACGTATTTTAAATTTAAATGGCATTTTAGAGTATGAAATGTCTTTTCATACGGGTGGGTCTCCTTGCGTGCATTTTTGTGTTTTACTTGGGCTAGTTCCCACAGATGATTTGTTGTTGTATTTTCTGTAATCAGAAATAGGTTAAGAATCTGTTCTGTTAATAATATTTTAATTACTTTTCATTTCTTCGAAAGACAAATGCTTTAGTAGTCGCTCCATTGTTTGCTGATCGCTGATGGGTTTCTCAAGAAAGCTTGACACATCATTGATTACTCCCCGCAGATCTTTCTTCAATCTTTCAAAGCTTGTATAGAAGACCCAGGGTTCATTTCTCAATTGGTAGAACTCGTGGGCGTGTTCAATGATCTCAGTTGCAAAACCTTCAGTGGCTAAGATTTCATCGAAATACTGATGCAGTGACTTCCCATAATGATAGCCAAATGAAACGCCGTGGTAGTATCGAGATACCCAGGCATCTAGAGGATTCCGAAAGACATAAATCACTTTGTTTTTTCTCTCCCAAAGTTTTGAGGGCAGTAGAGCAAGTGGAAGGTGAGATTTGATCAGTCGTGGAGACTTCAATTCCTCGACAGGCCTTAATGATCGTTCCTCATCCGCATATATAAGAAAGTCAAACCTTAAAGGGAAGTATTATATTTTTTTAAGTATATTAATATTTTTAAAAACGATTAACCTACTCCATATACGGAGAACGTAGCTCCAGATCTTTGGCCAACGCTCCGTCGAAATCGAAGTCATTGATAAGCAACCACAGTAATTCCTGCATCCAAGTGGTTCCACATTTCGGTAGAGTTACAATCCACACATCATCATCTCTAAGCTTCATGTCATGCACCAAATTAAGAAACTTCTCTGAATTTTTCCTAAACATGAGTTTTCGGTTCGACCAGTCCTTGTCGATGAGGTTTGTGGGATAACTCCGCGGCGTGACCTGTTCGCGTTCCATGGCGCAAGATAACTGACTTGAAACGAAAGAGAGTTGTTCAAACTTAACCATAGTGGTTCACTATTTAAGAGATATTTCTCTTCTCATTGTTCTCTCTTTCGCATTTTCATGATAAGATTTCATAGTAGTTGTTGTTGGCCTGCTTGAGGTTTGTTTTGATTTTCACACTACTCTATCAGTTGATAATGGAAATGTAAACAAGCTGAGCTAAAGATATAGATGTCAGAAATTCACTAAGTAGGCCAAAAGCTGGGAAAACTTGAAATTATTATTTCTTCAATGTTTTGTTATTGTTTTCGAAGACGAACAAATTTGTGGAAAAGCCTAACCCTTTTCGTAGACATTTATATTGAAGTAGCTGTCGACAAAACTGAATGTGCTGATAATGAAGTGACAACCGCAACAAAGTAAACAATTCGCTTATAAAACCATTAAATTACCTATAGTATAGGGGAAGCAATTATTTATTAAACATATATCACCACAGCTTACAGACTATTAACAAAGATTACACAAAATATATATTATACCAAAACAGGTGAATTACGTGGAAGCAAACTTGCTGTAATTGGCAAAGTCATCCATGTTCAATTTGTGGTCCCGCAGATTGATATCCGACCAGAGATCGAACTCCCGGATGATGTCGGCGGTGAGCTCATCCTTGTGACTGCCCACCACTCCGCGGCGAACGAACCTGTGTGGCGAAGTGCTGATTAGCCAGCTCCTGGCGAGTCCTTTGCATATGCTCAATGGGTGTTGGGACTTACCTGAACTCCTCCACTTCTCGTCCAGCGGCCGCCTTCATGCTCTCGAACTCCTTGACATGATTGCAGGCGGGATTATCGCGCATGCTCTCGAAGGATAGGTGTCGCTGCATTTGCTCAATCTGCTCGGGGCTGACCCTCCGATTGAGGAACTGTGCCACCTCCGCGATGACCTCACCCAACTGACCCTTCATTCGCTCGTAGCTGGTGAAGAATATGTTCGGCTCGTGGCGCAGCTGCCAGAAGTCGAGGACATGCGGCCAGCAGGGCGTAAAGTTCACATAGCCATCGATGAAGGAGTGCATGAAGTCCGACTTGGTGCCCTGGTAGCCCACCATACCGCGCCAGTGGTGAAAGTACGAGATGGCGGCATCCTTGGGATTGCGATACACATAGATGATCTTGGGCCGCTTGCTCCAGATCTGTCTGGGCAGCATCCAGGCGGGCAGATGGGACTTAATGAGACGCGGCGAGGGCAGGGCATTGGCTGCGGCGATGGTGTCATGTGGAACATTGGGAACCACTCCATTGAATCTGGAAAGGATTCGTATTGATTAGTGACTGGTCCTTAAAGCCCAGTAAGACCAGGTTTAATATCCAAAAAAAGAAAACGCACTCCAGGAACGGCGATCTCAGCGTCAGATCCACGCTCTTGGCCGTCTCGAAATCACACTGATTGACCACCAACCAGGCCAGCTCCTGCATCCAGGTGGTGCCGCACTTCGGCAGGGTAACAATCCACACATCATCCTCGCGAACCTCGAAGTCGTAGACGCGATCCAGGACCGGCTGAAAGGTGTCCGCCAGGCGACAAAAGCGCTGCTCCCAGTTGCCGACCACCGGAACCGCTGGCTCACTGCTCGCGAAGATCGAGGAGTAGCCGCCACTGATGGCCAGCTTGTCGATCTGCTCGAAGGGCACGCTCTTGGCAAAGAAACTCGACTGGGGCATCTTTTTTTTTTTTGGGGTGAATCGCGAGGTGTCAGTAACTCAAGTGTGGAAACGATTGATCGAACTGATCGGTACGGCAGTTGAAACCGCATTAAACGCAGCTTGAGAAACACCCAGCCATCGGGAGCAGAATCTCGGGTCTTTCAGCAACTTGGAGATGTGAGCGTGACACGATCGCTTAATGAGCTCAAACCTTTTGTTAAGTTGTTCCAAAGGGAAGCCATTTTGATCGGCTTTTATGAACTAAACGAGTGCTTTGGTCAAACAATCACGGAACCATCGCCAAAACACCAAAGTAACATTATGCAATTAACGCGTAACCGGACTCGTTTATGTCCATATGCGACACGATTTTGGCCGCATGAATCGATCGTGCGGTAAGACTGAAAGACTTTCTTTGTTGGGACGGCCGAAAGAAAGTTTTTGGGCTGGAAACGTTTTGTTTACCTTTTGATTGAGGCGGCCAGGTGAAATTAAGCCCACCGATTTGGGCAGTCGTTAAGTTGGAAGAATGCCAGCCTTTAGTTGGGCAAAACAGGTTGTTAGCATTCAGAGAGGGTTGCTGACAATCCAATAGAATTGTTTAATTTAATCGGTTAAAATTTGCGAGGGGAATATAAATAATGCTGCTGATCAATACCTAGATTCTGAAAAAAGTTTGCCAACCATTTTGTTGGGATAGGATTGGCCAACTGATTTCAACCTTGACCCGAATTCCCCACATTTAGCTTTCTTTTTGCTTGGTTTTTTGTAGATAATTTCCATTTTGTTGGATTTTTATTTGTATTATTTGCATTTTGTTTTGTTTCTTGTTTGTGGTTTTTTTATTGTGTTTGGTTTTTTTTTTTACAATAAATTTGACTAAATCTTAACATTTATAATCCTTAACCTGCAAGGAGCAAACAGATGTAGTAACAAATATACATAGTCGTATGTAAAGATTTATCATTTTTGTTTTCAGAAACATATAGTAGTACCGTATCTATATATATATATATATATATATATATTTTATGTATACATATATTCTTCATAACATGTAAATTGTTTTTGCATTTCACTTTATTATGTCTATGCGATTATTTCCCGCATTGCTTGCGTTTTTTGTTTTTTGTTTTTCATTATTCCATTTCTGCTTGTTTGTAGTTTACGCGATTTAATCCAATACATACAATTGAAACACACACATATTAACAACATTGAATATGCATATACATTTATATTCTCCTATCGCATTGTTTATTTTGTTCTGTTTCAATGTGATCAGTAGTGACACGAAGTGTGGGAACGGAAAGTGTGGGTTGGTGGGTGGATTGTGTGGTTGCGGTTGGTCGGTTTGGGCGTATGGGATGGGTCAAAGGTCGACCCTTTAGCGGATAGGGACTTCCTAGACCAAGGGACTTTGCTACACAGTTCAGGAGGTCAATCAAGGGTCTTGTATACGTGTATATAATTTCTATCAAAACATTTTGAAGCACGGGATTTAACACCTTGATAACACATACAAATTACTGTAACTCTGTGAATGAATGCCGATATCGTATGACATATATAAATATATAATATGCTTCGTAAAAGTTGTATAAATTGTATATATGTATATTGTATATATTATTTTGCTTTTCAATTTCATTTTGGTTTTTTTTTTTGTTTTGTTTTTAAGTTATAACAAGAACGTATTATCAATTCGTATTAATAGATCTGGTTTATATATGTATATGTAATTTGTTCAGTCAATTAGATAAAAAGATTTCAAAAAGGATTTCACTTAATTGTTAAACATTTGCGTTTAGTTTGATTTCTCATACCGTATGCTTAGAAAGCTAAACAACATTAATAGTATTAGTTAGGATAGCTCATCATTTTTCGTTTTTCTTCAGTTAGGAAAAATAGGTAACTAGTTAATTAGGTAGTAAAAGGGGCCCCATAGGATTTCATATGTCTCAAGAGTGGATTCGAATTAGTTTGTTTCAGTTTTACTTGTTGTAGTTGTTAGCTAGTCGATAGTGATAGTATGTAATATATATAGTGCTTGCCACGATCTCGCATGCTTGTGTATGTATATAGTCTTCGTCCAGCTTTTGTCCTTGTATTTGTTCCGAATCCAAATCCAAATCCAAATCCGTTTTCAATTCCATTCACGACTAACGATTCTGACTTGGACAGCAATTAAACTATGTATATTTACTTGGCTTTTGCAGTATTCAACATAGATTGTCTTCATGATGGGAGAGAACTTCATGCTTGTAACACTTGGTTTGGTAGCACGGCTATACCGTTACCAAAACCGTTATACTGTTATACGTTATACCGTTGCCAGGTACAGTTGAGCGCACGCCATGTATATTCTGGTCAATATGCTGTGGGATTTCTTGCTAGATTGCTAGTTTGCTAGTTTGCTAGCCCGCTAGTCTGCTTTCGATAGCCTAAACACACATTTATATGGGGGGGGGAGGATGGAGGGGACATACACACTCACGCACACACAGACTCACATGGTATATTTATATAGAAATAGAAAGTTCGCTTCTTGTGATGCATCTTAAACATTTAATTTTGAGTCCAGCCCAATAATTGTTTACTTGTTTGCCTTAGTTAGTTTGCTTTGTATGATACCGCTTTTGTGACACCGCTTGGCACCTTTTCGTTGAGCCGCCCACAATCCGTACCGCCCCCCCGGCCGTTGGTCCGTTGAGAGATATGCGTGTTTTTTTTGTTTTTTTTTTTTTGGTGGGCAACCCGGGGAGCGGGTGATGGTGGCTCTTAAGCCGGTAGGGTTGAGCTTCGACTTCATTGAGAGGATCAGGCCGAGAGACTACGGGTCCGGAGTCAGACGTCACAGGACCTTCGACGCCGTCACTAGAGCACGTCCTCCATCTCGTTCTCGCCAATCGTGGAGGTGCCCGGTGCCTGAGCCGGCAGTGGCTTCAATAGACCCGAGAACAATCTCCGGAAGGCCGTATGCTATTTGGAGTTGGCCATCTTGCCCACTGGCGGCTGCTTGGCCATGATCTCCGCCAAGGTGTTGACGCCCTGCTCGTCGTACTTCTTCCACTGCGAGTAGTTGATCTGCATATAGGTGATCAGCTGCGGCATGTCGATGAAGCCTTTAAAATACATATTCCAATTAGCAAAAGTTACAGAAGATACTCTGTTATCTTCAACTCACTCTCCCAGGCGTGCATCATGTCCTGTATGATGTATTCGATGAAGCCGATCTGGCTCTTTGGTATGCTGCAGGTAGCTCGATCAAACATCGGCATCACGATCGGTAGGTGACGCTGCTTCTCCTCGTCCGTCTGCATGAAGTATTCCTCGGCAATGCGACGGGCCCACTCGATGCAGAACTGCATGGGACGGGCTGGATTGCTCACATCGGCCACCTTGATCAGCATGCGGCGCATGAGTATCGACGTCTCCTCATCCGTCTGGGAGTTATGCTAATGGTATTCCAAATATTTTAATAATTTCTATTTTTTAAGGGGTAATCAGATGGACATTACCTCACGGGGCTCCTCGCCGCCAAAGACGCTCACGAACTTGGCCAGGTGCTCAAAGTGCCTGGTCATCTCGGTGGCCAGGATCATGTCGATGATGGTGCTGCGCGCCGACTTGTACGTCTCCTTGTCCAGGTTTTTGAATATGTTGATCTTATCGTCGCCTAAACATATGAAAAGAAAAAAAGATGGTATTACATTTTCTAACAACTCATCTATTATAGAATATAAGAGTATCTTGTAAAACAAATGAAATTTAGCTTAAACATCAAGAGGTCCCTGCTAGGGCGCCACCTTGTCCATGGGTTGAGGTAATGTTTAAGCATGTTTTTGTTTGTTTCGACAAGATCTCAGAAGAGGTTACCATTATTAAAGGAAAGAGCTCACTTACCCAGAGTTAGCTTAAAGGTAATTGCCGCATGGTGGTTCTCCAAAACTGTTAGATCATTGTACAATACGGCCAGAGCGTCGTTCGAGTTGCACAAAAAGGCGGATGAGCGACCCGGATGATCGACATCGTGGGCAGCTGCCGCAATCAAAGCAGTCGCCTCCTCCATGCGGTCCATCACCAGCATGTCCTTGTTGGTCAGTTGGGTGATGAAAGCGCCAGTGGCCTACAGGTACACAAAGAATTAGCGCTTATGCCAGAAAAAAGTTCAGAGGTCAATCACCCACCTGCATGACATCTGCGGCATGGGTGCTGTTGTGATATGTGTTGCTCTTGCGGTAGTGGGCCTCAATTACGGCCAACCAGGCCTTGCAGACGTTCTCATCGATGTTCAATGTGGCAAAGACGTCGAAGCGGCGGAACATCTCCATGCCCAAATAGAGCAGCGGATGGTAGTCGGTGATCTCCTCCAATTTGAAAATATCAAAGTCCCAGCTGAGAGATTCGTCAAGTAGTTCCATGATGATGGGATTGGACTGCCATAGATGTAATTAATAAAATGTTGTAATGTGTATCTTTAAAGCTGAGAACAAACCTTCATTTTGGCGGGCACAATCGTGGCAGTTCTTGTGGAGCTGCCAGTGCGTATGATAGAGTCATTCGAGCTGCGGCGCGACGAGTACACGCTGGGTCCCTGAAAATGACAAATTCCGCTTAGCTATAATCAAAAACACTTAATTAATAAGGTTTATTAAGTTACCGTTAGCAGAGCACCAATTAGATCGGTGGCTATGGGATCATCCGTTCGTATCTCCTTCATTTGCGGACTGTAGAGTCCTTCGCGCTTCAGGAACTCCAAGACCTTGTCTATGAGACGCGCCTCATCGGCCGAACAATTCTCCTGTACTTGTGATAGTAAATTGATTATCTAATGTGCGAGTGCGCAGTGGTTGCGTTTGTTTAATTATTTTTTGATTTTTGGTGGTTTTTGATTTTTGGTTGTGTTTGTTGGTTTTGAGTTTTATTTTTGTTAGCGACGCACAGCGAGCAAATCGAGCGAGCGAGCGAACGTGCGAACAAACAGTTTGGTATATTATTTTGTAATATTTTTTTTATGAGTTGGTTCATTGTTCGAGTACACAAAACATAAAAGTAAAAAAGAGAACATAACAATTAAGAGATAAAAAGAGAATAAATGTAAGAACATGTTGGTTTAGATGTGCGGTTACTGTTAATTTTGGGATTAGTAGGCGTTAAATTTATGACAAATTAGGAGCTCAAATGGGGTGGACAGTGGGGCAATGGAGGTTTTAATTAACCCAATGTCAGCCGTTTTTATCAAATACATTTAACGCTAGCTTGGAGTTTGGTATGCATTTTTTTTTAAAAAAAAATATTTAATTAGCAACGACACCAATGTGAGGTCCCTGGTTGGGCGCCAAATAGCACACGATGTGCAGGGGGAAATGCCTTTGAACAGATTACGCTAAATTGAGGAATTAATTTGATAATTAAAAGCAGAGAGACTGCTATCATCTCGTGGCCTTTACATCACGAAACACGGATAGTTTAGTATATTTCTACTCCAATCCAGAAAATGCATTTGAATTTGCATTCAGCTTTCACAGTGTGTCAGTGCCTGTGTCGTGGTGTGCGTGTGTGGCGATGGTCTGTGTGTGCATGTGCTTGTGCAAATATTGTTGCTAATGTTATTGCTGTCGCTGCTGCAGTTGCTGCCGTCGTTGCTATTGCTGCATATGCTACGGGGCATGACAGGACACCTGGACACACACACACACACACACACACACACACACATAGAGAGAGAGACAGGGGCACGGCGCACGGCACACGGACACAGGCACGGACGACAATTTAGCAATTTAGGCATTCCCAAAAGCGATTCCCAAATATTGCAACGTGCTGCAGCCACAACCCAAATGTGAGGCGGAGTCATACTTTAGTGATGGGGGCCTCCAGCGGCAGTGACGTCAGCTTGGCCAAACTGGTCCTTCGCAATCCGTCCGATGCGATGGAGCGTACATCAAAGCTGCAGCGCCGCACCGAGTGCAGTGATCCCCTGGGCGCCTCTTTGGGCTGCGGCAGTGTGGCAATGAAATCCATCTGTCCGCCGGGCACATCAAAGTTGAAAATCAAATGCGTGGGTGCGCTGTCGGGGCAAAGGTAAAGTTACCAATTAAGCGGGGGTGGCGAACTGAGCACTGGGCACTAAGCAATAAGCACTCACCTGCCAATGCAGGCCACCGGGACAACGCGCACGTGCATCGGTATGCCCTCCTGACTCTTGCGGCGCACTGTGAGGATGCCGTCGAACTCCTTGATGTTCTTGCACTGCTCACTGATGGTGGACAGGTCCGACACGAATATGTCCTCCAGCTGCTTGCTAATGATCTCGTCCTGTTGTCCAACGCGGAAATCTCATTAATGCCGCAATCGCAAACAAGCCGCCCACCCACTTACCAGCCGCATGTTGAGCAGCCTCTCGGTGGCACGGTTCGCATACTGGATCCGCAGCAAGTCGTCCGTGATGAGCACCACCTCCTTTAGCCGATGCAGTGCCGTATAGAGGGCCTGCGGGAACAGGAATGCAAATGGAAATGGAAATGGGTTTACAATTTCATTGGCCTGCAGTGCAGCGCTTCCGTTTAATTGAATTAATTTGAAGAAGTGAGCAGGGGAACGGGGACAGTGTGACATTGCGTCCTGGCGCCGAGGGCGATGGGACATTAACTCGATTACCTGTTGAGTGGACATGACATTGTGCGGCCGGATGATGGAGTGCAGTATCTGCTTCAGTTCCACACTGCACATGGCCAGGTTGGTCGTCTCCGCTACGCACTGTGGAATACACAAGACGTTGGTGCTAGTAGCATCTGTTTCTCATTCTCGTAGCGCTCCCTCCTCTGATGGGGCAATTAACGGAAACTTACTCTATTAACGCCAGCGTCCAATAGAGCAATTAGCACATCATCCTTCTCAAAGAAACTGCAAAAGTCGTCGGTCGTAAGTCGTTAGTGGAAAGTGGAAAGTGGCAAGTGGCAAAGACTACTCACCTCTTTTTGCAGACTGCAATTATTGTCGTTAAATGGTGGCCGTGTGTGTGACGTATGGTTCTGTGGGGAACGAAGACAGCAAGTTTTTATTGCAAAGTGAAAAGTTTATGAAAATGAAAAAGTTTTTGTGAAGTTTGGCCAACCCGAAACTCGACCCGGAACCCATTTCACATCGGGCAACCCATTACCCCGGTGACCTTTACGCATCACCCACAACCCACTACCCACTATCCACTACCCACCTCGCAATGTGCTCCGCATCCAGGTTTTTAGTGGAGCGCGCATCAATTATGATTAGGTGGTAGCACTGGGCGGTGGCGTACGACTTCTGCAGGGTGTCCAGAGCCTCCTCCTTCGACTTGACCAGCGTGACGTCCAGCTGGTGGCGCTGGCAGGCCGCAGTGATCGCCTCGCAGATGCTGTCCGATTTGTGGAAAACCAAAAGGGCCTAGATGGGATGGGGCCAAAGCCATTGCACTGATTGAATTGCCCCGGTTCAAAGTGGTACGAAGAGGGCTTACCTTAAGTGGAGGATTCGGTGGGAGCACGGTTGGATACTTCAGGTCCATGAGATTTCGCTGCATCAGGAAATAAATAAAAAAAAAAAAAAAATAAAAGATAGGGGAAGGGCAAGGGAGCGATGTCAGAACAGGTGAGACAACGTGTAAAATTTAATATAAATCTGCGGCTCCTCTGGCTTTGCCATCAAAATAAGAGGGCTTAAGCGGGCTTCGCATTGCGAATGTTTGTGTATCTCTGGCTGGATGTACATATGTATGTATACTTGTATGTAAACCTGGGTGTCCCCTAGCCGCCAGTTACGCGCGCTCACAATGCGTGTGTGTGTCGTTCGTGTCGCTTAAATGATGATAAATTAAAATAAAATTGCTCGCTGCTGATTCTGACTTATGTGTGGCACGCTCGTGTGCTGCAGATTTATAATACGAGCACATTAAATCCGCCAAAGGTGGGTGGCGGCTCAGTGTCAATCAGGGGAATGAAAATGTAATCGGAAATGTATCACACACAACACAACACCACGCCACAACACAACACAACACGGCAGCATAAGACGCAGCTAAGGCGGCAGATTGATGGGCCAAGCGAAAAAGTTGGTCCTGCGAAGGCTACCTGGAAAGTCCTGAACTCCTCCTCCTCGGTGGGTTTCTTGCCAGCCACCAGGAGGTGGAGTTTCGGCACCTTGGGCAGTCGTCGCTCGTACAGGCTGTGCGCCTTACGCTCCAGGCAGTTGACCTTGCGCCGAAGGACCACCGAGTCCTCATGGTCGTGGCCGGGTGACAACTCCGCCACCGGATGGCTGCCCGCTCTGTCGCCCTCCATTGAGTCTCTGACGCCTTCGAGGCTCAGATTGTTGAGCAACATGGCCGGGACGTCCATGCTGCGTATGACCTCGACTATTTCCGGCTGCAAGGCATTCCGTCCGCCGCCAACGCTGCCGCCGCCGGCGAAGGCCACACTCAGCGGCCTTGTGTTGCGGCGCAGGGGGGTCATTATGTCACGACTCTCGGCCTCCGCGTTCGCCTCGTATTCCAGCTCCATTTCCTCGGGCGTTTTACTCGAATTGCGAGCCACAAATGGCAGGGAAATAGCCACTGGCCCTGGACTTGCTCCCGGAGCTGGAGACGCTGCCGAAATCGTTTCCACTTTCATTTCCGGGCAGGAACCCTCGCTCTTCGGCCGAATGCCACCGTTGGTCGCCATTGCTGGTGGTTCCGAATGCAAGGCCGATTCCAAAGCCAAATCCAATGCCAAATCCAATTCGAAATCCAAATGAGCAGAGCTTATCAAACGGCTGCGGCTGCTATCGTCATCTGCGAGCGGTCTTTCATTACGGTTATCGCCAGGCTGATGGGATATTGATATAGCCGCTGGCCTCACAGCAATGCCATACGGCTCCGTATCGGAGTCGGGATCGTTTGACCGATTTTCTTGGCCGGCCGACGCTGATGATGACTTCGCGGATGAGGACTTGCGGCGAAAGACTTTGCTGAATTTTGGCAAGCAATTGCGCATTCTGCTAATGCTAATTATAACGCACAACACAACACTACACAACACAACACTCAGCCACACTCGGGAGAGCGTGAAGCGACACAATCCGTATCGCAATAACAATGACAGCGGCAATTACACTCGCCACTTGAGGTCCAATGTCTTAGATCAATAACAAATTGTTTGCATAAGCTCCAACACACACGAACACACGAACAGAAAACGCGTCGCGAGTGGCATTTCCAACTTTTCCACGCCGCCGACTAATGGGACAATCTCGATCTGTATTTGTATCTCTGTATCTGTATCTCTATCTGTATCTCGATCTGTATCTGTATCTGTCTATATCTCGATCGGTATCTCCGCAATCAGTTCTGAATAATTCACAGGTTTTGTGGTCGAAACTAAGCGACTACGCGACGCTCAAACATTGAACTGAAACGAAACGAACTGTGTCGCGTCGATCGGGGCATAATCTCTTTCTTTGCCTTTTGATTTCCCACCTTCAATGTTAATTGATTTGATTTCTCTGGTAGCGTATTGTTTATAGGCAAAACACACCTATAGGGCACTGGCTGGGTGTGTATTGGTGAGCGGCTATTTAAAGCGGAATGTAAACCGAAAAGCGCAACGCTCTCCGCTGCCCATATAAAAAAAAAAAAAAAAAAAACGCTGCCTGTGATAAGATACCTTATCAAAAGACGTAACACCCATGTGGTTCGGTTCCCCCTCGAATAGTAATAGACTCACCTGGTAGACGTCCATCGGCTCATCTTCCGGGGTGAGGGCGAGGGCGAGCGATGACTTGCGGTGACCTGGACGGCTGTTCCCGCCGCCGGATGAGCTGGTGCCCGATGTGCCTGTGCCTGTGGCAAGACAAGAACAACAAAAAAAAGGGGAAAAATTGTTTAGAGGCGAGGAAAATTCTCTGAAAAGTATGCTACATTTCTGGGCGTTTCAACGGCTCGAAAGGCGTTGCATACTTGAGGGCTGCCGAGAGCCAAATGCTCGCACGCCCCACAATCAAAATGAATGGTCACTAGCCCCTCCACACACACACACACACACACATTTACTAACACTCTGTCAGGGACACGCACGCACATTAATTCCTCTTGTTGCACGTTTTATTTAATTATAAACGTTGGCGTTTCAGAAACACTTTATAAACGGGCAGTAAGCGGGAAGCACGCACACGCACACACAGACACACACATACACGTGTGCCGGCGAAAGGGTACAAAGGTCCTTGGGGGCGGAACTGGCTGCCTATCTGTCAACAAAGGCACTCCGACCCACTGAGCCGGGACCCCCGAGGTACTAAGCCGCACAAATTGTATTTCACTTAATGAGAAACAGGTTGGGACTCCAACAGGCCAACAGGCCAACATCCCATTTTATTTTATGCTGCGGCAAGCCAACTAAAATATAAACCCCATAAAAAAGACTGGTAACTGGCTCTTCACAAAAAATTGTACATCAATTTGCTGGTTAAACAAACAACTCTATCAGTTGAACCTTTAATATTCATCAATCCATTGAAGTATCCCCATATACATCCTTATGTTTACCTATGTCTTTATTGCACATACATATTCAAGTGGAAAATTTCAATCCATATGGGAGTTTGCCATACCTTCTCAGGCATTCGCAAAGTTAAATTCTTTGGCAAAGTTTTGGGGGAAATTAAAATTCTGTGGCTTCTTCCAAGTTATGTATGCGTATGCTTAGGCCCCAACAATTTTTAAGACCCCAAATGATTGACCAAACAAACTTTCTGTGTAACGAAATTTGTTCGAGGCTTTAGTGCGGATTCCCTGCAAGCAAATTAAAGTTATCAACAAGTAATTTTTGGTTTTGTTTTGGCCTTTTTGAATAAGATAAGAAATATCTAAATAGCTTGAAAGTCCCTATTAAACCAAATGGTAATATTTAAATGATTTGAAGGTTTTTCTATTCTTATGGATATAGAATCATTTAATATCAGCTAATTTAAAACGCATGTATACAAAAAAATAAGAAATTTGGATATGTGCCCGTTTTGTTTGCTTAGCTTTCTTTATATTTATGACTAAACATTTTCTTGCAAAAAATATTTTATCATTTTCCTGATAAATGCTATTTATGAGTATATTTTTTTTTACTCTGCTTTTTTTTATATTAGGCTTATTTATATTTTTTGAATACTGCTTTCCGTTTTATATGTAACCCTCAGCTTAATTTTATTCAGGCAAATTTGTTTTCATAATATATTCCTTTGCGTCTATGTCATATTTTAATTCTAACGAAATGATATTGAATGGAAAATAGAACATTTCATTTTCACTCAGCTTAATTTTATTTCATGACAACTGTTTTCATAATTTTCCTCTTTTCCGAAAGCTTAATTTTCATCCGGTTCCATGGAATTTGTGCAATAATTTTTCATTTTGCGGCACTAGAATGTTTAATTGCTTGCCATAACTTGTAAACTGGTGTAGGTAGCTAAGTACGTGGAAATTCAACTAGCTGCCAAAAATGATTAGAGCCGCCAGGATATGAAGAAAACTTTCATACTGATTTTTAATTGGCAGAAACTCACTTGGCAGGGCATCATTTTGGCCAACCACTCCCCTGTGGACATGCACGTTAACCGCATCATCAAACTCAACTTTAACCCCTGAAAAGGTGGAGAAGGAGGGGGAGCGTAAAACGAAGGAGGAGCTGGAGGAGCTGGAGGAGCTGGAGGAACCTTACCCACATTTAGCTCGGACTCGGAGGCCGGACGCGTTAATGAATCTCTGCTTGATGCCATGGATGTTGGTGTTTTCGGGGCTGTTGTTGTTGTTGCCTCCACGGCTGGTGGGTTTTGTCTGGCCCCCAGAGTCCCGCCCACGCCCACTGCCACGCCCACGGCCATGCTAACGCCCACTCCCCCGCAATTGCAAGTGCTGGGCACACTTTCTTCGCTCATGTGGGCACTAGTGGTCGTCGCCGTCGTCGCCGTCGTCGTCGTCGTTGTCGTCACCGATCCAACCAAATTCGGCTGGCTGGAAATTATCATTGTTTGTGCTTTTCGCTTTTCTTTATTTATTTCCCTTCTTGTTTTGCGGTTTTTGTTCTTGGCTTTTTGGGTACTTTGGGTAGTTTGGGTATTTTGCAAATGAAGTCACACAAATTTGGATTATTTTCGTGGCATTATGCTAATTGTCATTTATGTGCAATAGTTTGTTTATCTGGCTGCTCGGCATTGATTTCACACAATTAGTGCGTAATGATAAACTGCCCCACATGCATATATGGTACGAATGGCGCACAAGATACGGCAGCATGTGTGCACACTTAATATAAATAGCCCGAGTGGGGCATAAACAAAAACTAACCAGGGAAAGTACCCCTCGAGTGGGCCTATGTACTGAGCAGGCGGTATGAGTACGAGTACGAGTGCGAGTACGAGTACGAGTACGAGTACCAGATCCAGATCCATGTACATGGGCACGCCACTGGGGACAGGGGACAGTATATTTGCGCTTATTCAAATGGCTCGGGTGTATCTTATCGTTTGTGTATTATTTTATTTTTTTTTTTTTTGTGTGTTTTTTGTTTTTTTCGGAGCAGCCCGGGAGTAAAGTGGAGTGGAGAATGGGAGGATGGGGCAGGGGTACACACACGCGTTGTAATCTAAACGAAAATCGATAAATTGTTTAGATAAAAAGCGGCCAGCAGCCGCTGACGTCGGAGCAACAGGCTTTCCCTGCTTAAAAGTCCCTTTTCCATCTTAAACTGTGTAGATAGAACTTCATATTTCGGTAGCCGGACTTGTTTATAATTTACTTACTGCCTGGGCTCACACTGCTGCTCATAGTACAAAGTCACACACGCGGTCTCATCAAATATGAATTTCGGGACTACTTTGCACTCAAAACCTGCGAATTGATCTATTGGCCAAATTGGGGGGAGATAAAACGGGGGATTATGGCCAAAGTGAAAACCAAATTGGCCTCAAATGGAAATAAAACGCGAGCCGGACTGGGCAAAACGTCCGTTCTAATCCGGTATGAAGAACTGTTTGCCAGATGATAATTCTCGCACGGATTTTCAAACTGCCAGTGGCAGAGGACAGCGAACGGCGAGCAGCGAACAGCGAGCAGCGACTGCGACGGCGACGTCCGTGTGCGCTGCGGCAAAAACTAACGGTCTGCTGGGCTGTCGCCAAACGCAACGGCAATGGCCGTATCCGTGAGATACTTTTGGGGCGTACGTAAGGCGCTTAGCTGCCGCGAAGGCAGGTGCACTTCCATTAAATCTCCCACACTGCCATTGGACTGAGTTTAAAGTTAATGACTAAGAGCGGATTAGGGGAGCACAGCACAACACAGGGGCTTTTGGCCAGTCCCACTGGCCGATCTCTTTTGCGTTTTGGGGCCTTTTGCGCCTTTGGCCGTTGTCATGGCGACCAATTAATTTGTGATAAGATAATATCAGGCAAGTTTGCTCATAGTATTCAGATGTTTAGGCTGTGTGCGTTGTGGGGGGGGAGATACAGATACAGATACGGCGGCAGTGGACTGTGGGCACAGGTTCAGATACAGGTACGCCCGGCCAGATGCAGATACAGCCCGGGGGCAGAGATACAGACACAGATACAGACACAGATACAGATACAGGTGCGGATGGCGGGGTGAACGCGTGCACAATCTACATCTGGGTGGTTAGAGTGGGTGGTGAACGGCCCTGGGCCCAGAACGGAATCAAATTGGCCAGCTCTATCTAACCCGATCTTCTTGGCTCAGCGATACTCGCCGTTGATAGCCGTTCACTGGACATATGGCCAAAAACAAAAAAAAAGGGGCAATGAAGTGGGTTTTTGGGGGTGAATTGGGACCCATATTGATAGGCAGTAGGGAGTATCCAGCGGTAATCTAATCTGCGCGCATACATATTTCTAGAGAGCGCTTCACGTGGCTAAACTAAACGTAATTTGTGTAAGACCGCCGAGAATCACACTTCGATGCGAGCCCATGGCTGCAGCCAAAGTTGTGGTGACTAAACAGCCGAATCGACACAGCCGTCATCGCTCAATTTCCCAATTTACGGGAATACTACTGATAAACTGTAGAACTTTTGACGCGTGGGATTAGCCGCAAATAATGAATCGAGTCGAGCGTCGAGTCGAGTGATCGTTTAGTTTGTTTTCTTTGGCTTTGATTGATGTTTTGGCGCCATTCCGTGGGCGTTCCATTGTTTATTCTGCTCGTGAGAGACTGCGACCACGACTGCGACTACTGATCGCTTGATTGGAGCGAGCTGAATTAAATGGGTAACAAAATTCAGAGTGCGAATGCGAGTGCGAGTGCGAGTGCGAATGCGAATGCGAGTTCGTAATATCGTATCTCGCATCTCGCTCTCCTTCTGTTCTTATACGGCTGCTGTGTGTGAGGGGCACAAAACCAGATATTGTCATGTGAATTTTTGCATATTAATTGAAATTTTTTCACAGAGTTCCCCCGTAACTCAATACCTATTATTGGGCAGTACGCAACGGAATTGGAATTGGGCTCGGAGTATCTGCGCGTATCTGTATCCATATCTATCGGATATGGAAAACAGATACACGAATACCGAAATCTAGCCGGAGATTGCTACTCGTTACACTTGTTGTTGTTTTTGCAGCGGTTGTTGGCACACTTAGTTGTGAAGTTTGTTTTGATTTTTAACACTTTTTTTTTTTGGTTTTTTGTTTTTGTTTTTTTTTTTTTTCGTGCGCGGCTATGTACACTTTTGTTGTATTTTAGAGCACGCTAAGCTGTTTTTTTCCACCTCAAGCGAATGCAGCCAACGAATTTCATCGCGTACATGATTTCCAGTTGGCTCTATGCGTTTTTTAATTGCAATCGCTTTGGATCGACGACTGGTTGGCCCTGGGTTATATGTTATATGCGAAATAGCGTGTTATAGGCACGACTTGGCCAAATTCGAGCCACTGCATTAGGTGGCAAATGGTGGCGACCAGTTTGCAGCAGCTGGCAATGATTTCATTTTTGGTTTTTTTTTTTTTTTTTTGCGAGTTGGCCTAGGGCGCGATTTTTTTGCAGTAGACTAGCGATTCAAAATCCCGATTCTATGGGTATATATGGCACATACACTGGGATTCACTATGTTGCAGCGACGTCGACTGCGGCGGCGACTGCGACTGCAACTGCGACTGAGCGACCGACGCGGCGAAAGAATCTACAACAAATGACTCCATAAATGGCGAGCAGCTGTTGCCGCAACGCTGCGAGAGAGAGCTTTGGCGATAAACGAAGACGAAGCTCGCTCCAGCGCTCTCTGACCCCCCGTGTTCACCCCCAACCCCACTCCTCGCCCACTCTCCCAGTTCGATCCGTTTGCTGAGCGCGATCAAGTTTCACTGATGCTCACTCACTCTCCCACCAGAGCTCCATTGAAGCCAAAAAGAGAGTGAGAGAGAGAGAGAGTGGAGCAGAGAGCGGGGAACTGTTAATTGGACGGCGACACAAAACAGCTGCGCTTTGGATCTCCGACAAGCGCCAGCTGACTCTTTTTATTCTGGGATCGAGTTACCTGGTCAATCGCTTGGGGCTTAAGACATTACCGATACCCTATATCCGTCTATGGCAATCGAACAAAATTTTAGGCCCTGAAGAACAAATTTATTTACTTATTCCACCATAATTCAGGCTTAATGAATAAAAAGCGTTTTCAATTCGTATTGTTTTCATTTAAATTTAAAACAAAAATCTTGGAATAAATGGTAAGGCCGAGAAAATATCCTTAATTCAAGGAGAACAGAGTGTTCAGTTTATTTATGCCTGATGGGATTCTTAGTAAAGTTAAGTTTTTGTTAAAAAAATTTTAAAAAAGACTTTCTATTAAATATTTTAAACTTCTATTTTAAACAGTTTGAAACTATATAATTGATATTTTTAGAGGAATTTTACCATTTATTTCCGTATTTGTTTACTTCGATCAGAGGTTAACAATCTGCTAAAATACCCATTAATTCACTAATCAATCTTAATCCTTCCTGTTTTATCTAGCCACTTGAGTTGATTGATTCGAATTCGGAGCATCGTAAATTTTCAGAAAATCAGAAAAATAGGAATTGTGCAACCGATTCTGAGATTCTCATTGGTAAGTGCTATTACGATTGCTATCAGGTAGCTTAGCGGAAGCTCTTGACGGTGGAGTAGGACACTTCAGATTAGAAGAAGCAGAAGCCGAGTTCCTGAATCGGGGGCCTTATCAATCGCTATTATTAGTCGATATTGAGTGTTGAAGGTAACCAAAACCTAAACGTTGCCTCATATTAAAGGGTAAAAAGGTAAATGATGCTGCCAAAGGGATCATGTTTCGATGAAACACTGAAAGTATTAACATATCGAAATGTTTCTATGAAACTTCTAATATATTAACCATTATAATTAAGAGGGAATTGTATCCAAACGAAGTCTGGGGTATAGTTATGTTATTTTGTGACCCCATTTATATACTTAATTTAAGAAATAAGCCCATTCTAACCCATTTCTTCCTGTGTGAATCTTTTGATATAGTTTTGGGGATGGTTAATACTCACTGCCAGTGGCCCGTCGAACCACGCTGTGTGTGAAGTTGCCCAACGCGGCTACCGTCACAATCGAGTCCTTTTTGCCGGTGCTCAGCTTTTGGGAGATAAGAAATCAATCCAGGAGTCTAAAGGAGGGAGGTGGGGGGCATCTCCGGATTTGGTTACCTTTTCGTAGTCGGCCTCGCTTTTGGTCTGCAGCGGATTGAGGAGCACCTGGCCGCACAGGTTGTCGCCCGTTGAGCTCCCGTTGCCGTCGCTGGGGGGCTGCAGGGTCACGCCCCCGCAGCTGCAGCGGCGCAGGCGACTGCGCCTCAGTTTGATGCAGAACAGCCGGCTGCCGTCCTTTTCACTGGCGTCCAGGGGAAGGGATCCTGGACCGTCGGTCTGGCCAGCGGTGGCGGAGGGGGCGGGCAGAGTGCTTGGCGAACAGCCCATGGCGAAGTCCTGCTTCTGATTTTGGCCTGGCTGCTGCTTCCGTTGCGGTTGCTATGCTAAATTGCTCTTGGTTGCCTTGTGATTTTGGTTTTAGTTTCGTTTCCGATTGTGACTTTGGTCTACGGATTCTTGGGATTCTTGGGATTCCTTGGATTCCCTGGATTTCAGAGATCCCGGGGATTGCAAGTGCACAGCTTACGCTCGCTCCACCGACGCTTTTGGCCTTGGCAGTGCTGCTGCCTTCTTGTTTTTGCGGTTGCTGCTGCTCTGGTTCGATGGTTTCGATTCTGGACGATGTCGTTGTTGCTGGCGATAACATAATTGAAACATTTTTGGGCTGCGGTCTGTTGACTGATTGACTGATGGCCAGCGAAGATACTGGTCACATGATCCACAAAACTGTAAAAATCGGAATAAAGAGTGGATTCTCAGTTAATTGAAATACCAGGCAAATGCAATCAGTTTGTCGGAAAAAATTGGCAATTGGTTTTTCATCGCTTGCAAGCTTAAATTGCATTGTTTTTGCAAGCCCCCCAAAAGCTCATGAATTTATTTAAAAATCAATTTCATATTATTTTACTACCAACTGATTTTTTAATATATTTTTTTTGTAAATATATAAGAAGCTTAGTTTACTGAGTGTAATAAAAGCCAACTTTAAATTGGAAAATGCCTGATGGCAGTCCCTTTAATAAATATTTTTATTGAACATTTTTTACTTTGAGAGGCATGACTACTCGACTATTTACCTTATATAAATTCTTTGAACTGGAAATAAACCCCTAGTTTTTTCTTTCCTTTATGTCCTTAATATATTCTCCAATGATATACATATCTGATTTGAATAAATTTTATTAAACCAAGCTCTAAGCTATTCAGTAATTAAGCAGGCACTGACCTACATTAACATAGTGCCTTCCCGTTCTTTATTTTTGCTTCATACTTCCCAGCTTAATTGGTTAAACTAGTTTAATTGACATTGATAAGGCAGAGTGATAAATGACGAGTTGAAGTGCATTACTGGTATTTTAATTCGATTACGAAAGCCAGTTGGGGTCCGCCATTCAAGAGGCGTTCCATTGAAACTCTCATCGAATATGGACAGAGCACCCGCACAATTGTCAAAAACTCTTGGCGATTGTTATAAATTCATAAAAGCCCAAATATTGGCAATGATTATTGGAGCCAAGGCGAGAAAAAATCAAAATAAAACGGGGCCCTTGAACGTGACCAGCTCGCTGCATATGAATAATGCCCAGTAGGAGTTGTATTTGCGTTTCTCGGTTTCTTGGTTGCCAGCAACTGACTCCTGTCTGCCATATTAAGTTCGCGTCCCGAAAGTTGGCGAAACTTGATAGTCTGAGCCCTCGGTGGCACGTATCAAACAATTGACTTGTGGGGATTTGTGGCTGTCATATATAATACACAGCTTTTGGGCACCTCACATATCTGTGACGGCACTGTCGATGTGATGTGTCGCCCTGTTGTTCTCATTCCGGCTGTCAGTCGAGTCGGCATTATCTTGGGGCAGGCAAATGGGAAAACCCTCTGCCGCTCGCTCGTGTCTTGCTAACCAATTTTAAATATTTAGATAAAGCTCCAACGAAAGCGAAAGAAGCAAATCAACTGATATGGAGCGGAATGGGAGAACGGGAGGGCGGCGAACTCTTCAGATTAGTCACCGAAAGTCGTACCCATTTCAAGTGGCAATTGGAGCTCGGCTCGGCTCTGGATCATGTCTGCGAGTGAAATGTCTTCTGTCTTGTCTCTAGGGGCGGGAAAACAATTCCAGGGGGAGGTGCGGCGGAAAAGATAGTCCTTATCCCCGGCGACGTTGATTGACTTGCTAAAAGGAAGGGCTGTCTTTCATCTGCATTCGTACATAAACACATCCACGTCCATAAGGACACTTGTTGTCGTGCCACTGTCTGAATCCGTTTGCATTGTTGGGGTCAAAAACAAAAGGCGTCACAACAACAGACACAAGCAGGAAAACTGGCAAGAGGAGGACCAGAAACGGCAACATAAGTACACAGTGATTTATTGGGAATTTTGTATTTGCAACCTTTGGAAATGCGACAGTACATAATTTATAAGTAATGTGGGTCCATAAGCTACTACAAATAAAATAAATCAAATAATCCCTATTTCTACTTACTATCTGCCTAAAACGCCTTAGCCTAAGTGCAGTGTGACCTTGCTGTTAAAATAAAGTCCAAATTATTTTATACACTAAGATCACACTTATTTGAAGTCTTTGAGTACATTAGAATTGTAATAAATTCTCATTGGATTAAAATTTTTTGCTCCGTGCAGTATCAGATTGAGCTTCAAGCAAACTCATCCACATTCCCAGCAATGAAAAAACTACAATAGAGATGTCGAGAATCAGCTTCGCGTACACATCGGTCTATGGTGTGTTTGTTGATTTAAACAAATTATTTTTAGCCCGACCATATTAAAATGAACAAGTAATGGGCTTTCGCCGTACACTCAGCCTCATTTAAGTTTTCAAATAAATAACGAACGTTGTGGACGTAGCATAATTTGTTTACCGCCTCCCCGGGGACGAGGCGGTTGCAATTGCTCAGCCGCCCTGTTGCCAGGCTATGCCGTACACATACACATATACATCTAGGTATGTATGAGTGTGTACAAGTATAAACGGGGCCTCGAGTTCCTTGGCGGCGCCTTTCGGTATGCAACTAAAGGCTCGAGTGCCAAGGAGTGCGCCAAATTCTATTAGCGTTGCCCGACGTCAACGTCAACTCATTAGATGCAGCCAGTCACGGATGCTTGGCCCAAAGCTATTAGTATGCAGGTGCTTGTGGATATTCGTATAATAGCATCATCAGGATGCCTGTGTTTGTGGTGCGGGTGTGTAGTGTGTGTTTGTGCGCGAGCCCCTAATAGAATTTCTTACCAATATGTACTCGAGAACGTAGGTATTTGGCTGGCAGCCGAAAGCAGAAAGCCGAAAGCCGAAGCCGGCCCATATAGGAAAGCTGGCCGAGACCAAAAATGATGAACATGGATGGAACATGGTATGGAGCGCATTCGAACAATTTTGTAGCTAATAGTTTTTGCCCGCTGATGTTTTGCAGCTGCCGATCACTCGGCTTCGTTTTTCTGTTTACTTTGCACATGCACAAACAGATCGGAATCCGATCGCCTATATACCGAATAACGTATCGAACACTCAATGTGTGTAGTCTACGGAGATCCATTACAACTACCTAATTTGACTTGAAGTCAGGTGTTGAAATTGAGTATTTAAGTTTACGGCTTGCCGTTATTCAAGATTTTCGTAAATTAACTACTAGAAAAACAGTTAGAAGTTAATTACGAAATGCTGTAAAAAAAAAATTTACTTTTGGTTTGCAAAACAGTTTTTTGATTAAGAGCTTGAATAAATAATGGCAAATAAACAAGAAAATTTTAATATCTGGTCATTAATCATGGAGATTTAAAAATAAATGGCTTCCCATCACAATTCAATTAAAACGTAAGAAAATAATTGTCTTTCATTATTGCTTATTAAATACTTAGAAAATTAATCACTCTAATAATAATCTTTAACAACTTATATTCACGAGCTAGTCAAATATAATCATCAAAACAAGCTACTCTAAAATAAAAATAAAATAATGTCATTGAAAAATGATTAAAGTAATACAATTTAAAAATAAAATTGTCTCGCTATAAAAACTTACATAAAAAAAGTAGAAAAAAGTCTGTGGCAACAATGAAAACGTGTGGCAATTATGGATTTCTCTAGCCATGGAAGTAGCCCCTTATAGAACTTAATGGCCCATTATTTTCTCGAATGTGTCCTCCAATCAGGGACAACCTTGGCGGTGGTCTCTCCAAGAATTTCATGTTCAGAATGTGCGTCACAAGTGCCAGTCAGTTGTAGCATCCTCAAGATTCGCTGGCGATCGCGGGCCTTGAGGCTTCACAATGGAACAGCTACTAATCGCTTACAGGCGGAAGGTTGGACCGCCTAATTAATAACGACGCATGAAGGAACACTTAAGCACATGTATACACAGCTATATGGGAGGATATATACATAGGTTTGTACGCATATAAGCTGCTTACAATATCTATAGAGACTTTTCCGAGTGTTTCAAAGAGTTTGCCAGTTGGAAATTTGCATTTCAAATGCCGATCTCAAGTGAGATATAACAAAATGAAGGAATGGGGAGCAGGGAAAAAGTGTCGCAACCTGGAAGATTAGACAGAGACGGTGAGGTCGTAAACGAAAGAGATGGCGCTAGAGGGTCTGATTGCCCCAGTTGACTATACAATCAAATGGCACACTGCGAACCGAGCATAAAGTTAGACGAACTGCAGACACTACGGCACTCGGGGGTTAAGAGTGGGTGGGTGGTGGTGGTGTTATTGCCTGGGTTGCATAACCGTATTGTAGTAATAATAAACATTTCGAATGCACGGTACCTCCCTGGAAACTCCCAATCAGTATGCACGCGAGCGACTCGGATTTATTTGCTGTTAACAATAGCAGGCACCTCTGCCGGCGGCCAACAATCCATTTTAATAAACAGTTAAAATCGAGAATTAATTAAGCCAGCCAGCCAGCCAGTCAGCCAGTCAGCCAACTGATTGGGCGACAGCCTATCGCATAGATAGTGAAAACGAAAAGAAATCTACACACCCATACGTAAGCATACAGCATATATAGTAAACAGCCATTAGATAATCAACGAAATGGGTCAGTCCACGCGGGATATGGCCGAAATAAAAACTACTACGACAAAAAACAAAAAAACATATAAAGTTTGGCAGCAGGCAAATGCAAAATGCAAAATGCAAAATTCGAGACACGAAACACGAAAAACGAAAAGCGAAATGCGAACGCAATTTGCAAACTTATCGCCGCTTGTTTATAAGTACGAAATGATATTTTTCACATTGTTTATGGCCAGTATGGGCATCATTGCTCACCTGCAGCCCTCCCCCCCCAAAACATTTTAAGCGATTTTTATGTGCCTCTGTCGCGCCTATAAGAAGTCAGGTGAGTTTCAGTTAAATTAAAAACTGCAAAATGTTTTTGCGACGCCAGTTGCATGAAAATTTTGTAATTTTATTTTTTTGTTATTTCGTTTCATTTAATTTTATGAGATTTTTGGAGGGCACAAACCAGACGTTGACACTTCCAAGGTGGTCTGTATAATAGAATGCTTGGAATGACTTGGAAATCTCATGGGGTGGGCGTTGTGGGCTGTGGGCTGTGGGTCTTTAAGGATATATGTATGCTATGGTTAAAGCCACCACCCACCACCCATCACCCATCACCCGCTGATTTGTATCTCTGGGCCAGTGTTAACGTGTAGGCAGAGAATGGCCGCAAATTAAGCGAATAACGAACACAGAATCGTATACCCCAAAAATGTCCAACTTAAGTACATATACAATACATTATCTGTTGACGTACCAAAAAATTTGTCGTTTAGCTGGTAGTTGTTGCTTTCGCTGCCTGTTGCTTGTGATATTTTATGCACACATGTATGTATGTAGGTATGTACGGGTATAGGTATTTCTTTTTATTTTAATATTTATATCAGACTCTAGATATAAATTAAACAAATACACATGAACACAATGGGTAGACACACGCACTCATAATAAATATTGCCCCACGGAACACACACACTGTGCGAGCAGCACTTCTTTGCAATAGCAACGGCAATAACAATAACAAAACATTTTCGCTGCTCTTTCTTCAACAAATTAGAATTTATTTTAATGCGCGGGGGTCACGTTCATAGAACGGATGTGTTGTTGCTGTTGTTGTTGACGCACAAGATATGGCAAAATATGTACGTCCGACCCCGATTCGACCCGATCCGACCTGCTCCGGACTCTATAATATCGACTATATACATATATTATACACACCGAATTGTAAATTGCAAAACTCAAATTCTATGCATTAAAAATAATAACAATAGCGCGGGCACGACAGTAGTAGCAGTAGGAGCAGTAGCGGCGATAACACACCGCCAACGTATCTGAGAGATACAATTGGCTCACATTTACGGCCGCCGCTGCTGCCAACACTCAATCTGAACAATACACACGCACCCCCGACCCGACCCGATATACACACACATATTGATCACAAATCGGGGAATATGATTGTCGATTATTGCGGCCACGGAGATAACTAAATTTTCGGGTGCGCCGCTGGTCAGCGGCGGGTGGTGGTGCAACTTGGGTGGTTTCGGATGCGGATGCGGGTGTGGGTGCGGGTGTGGATGTGGGGGCTATATCGCCGTATCGCTTACGGCCAGTGCAAAATTCTCTTTCAGCGACCGGACGACCGGCGAGAAAAGAACGCCCAAGATTCACGAGATTCAGCCGCGATCCGCGATTCGCGATCAACGATCCACGATCAACGATCCACGATCAACGATCCCCGATCGACGACGGTTGCCTGTCAAAGCAAAACGTCAAACTGATTTCTCGCTCAGCGTACGATACGATACAATGCGATACGGAATTCAACAGAAACCGAAACAGAGACAGACACCGACACCGAAACAATGGCAATGGCAGGCCAGGCCAGGCCAGAAGAACGCGAACACACAAAAGAATCAAGTGGAAGAAAAACTAAAACTAAAACAATCTCTGAGATACAAATTCGTGCGAATGCGAGGCGAGCGAGCGACAAGCGACAGTCGGGGAGAAGTACGAGTGCAAGTATCTGTACCTGAACGGCTGAACGGCTGAACGGCTGAACTTGGCAGCCGGACAGGGAGCAGTACGTTCCGAAAGAATCAGAAGTAGCTACAGAATCGCGGAGAGAGAGAGAGAGTTGGAGAGCCCCAGAGAGCGGAGAGCGGGCCCCAAGAAAAGAAATCAAAGTGGCGAGAGAGTCTAATGGAGAGTGGGCACTCTCTTCACTGGAGCTGAGCGCGTGACAAACGATAGATCGACTTCAAAGATACTTTCTGGAAAGCGAGCAACATATTAAACGATAGTAACGTGTAGACAAATAAAAACTAGTCATCTCGCAATTAGTTTTATTTTTACAGAGAAATATACAAAAAGAAATATGTTTCGTTAATTTTTTGTAATGGCTATTAACTAATAAGAAATATATCCAAATACTGCATTTCGACTAGGTTTATATATGTCGAATATATGAGAAAAACAACTTTAGGCATTTAAAAGTAGTTAATTCAAATGTAACTTGCTTATATTAAACATATAAAAAAAACTTGTGGAAATACAATTTTTTTTTTCTTTGGAGTTATTTTTTATTTTCGTCATCAAGATTAGCTAAAAATATGTTTATGAAAACATAAGGAATTTTGAGGTTAATCTTACTATAAGAACGAGAAAAGTGGCTTAGAGTTCGAAGAAAATTATACTTACAAAAACCAAATCGAAAAATAATCTTAATTATTTTTAAAGAATTCCTATAAATTAATTTTCAGCTGGTGTATAAGAAAAAGTGTTTGTGTTAAGTAAAATCATACAATTTTGTGTTGTTTTTTATTGTATTTAAATTTGCTCGCCAACTCTGCATTTCAATTAATGATTCTGTAAACTAGCCAGTAACAGCCAGCGATTCAATTTCTTAGTAATGAGTGAAATTAAAACATCATTAAAGCAAATTAGTCCCCAAACAATTGTTCACAGAACATTGAAGATTACGACTGGCTGGACTAAAATAAAAACGGAAGCCAATGAATCATTTATAGCATCATAAGATAAGCTGACCTAAATAAATAGCGAGGCCGTGAGTCACTCTGCGCTTGAAGAGCACCCAAATATGGCATATTTAAAGGTGGCATTTTCCAGCCGAAATGCTTGAGGGCCCAGGCAAATTGGGAGGACCAGGGATCGATCGTAAGGCGATGGCCGTTCCATTAACGGCTTTTGCCAGGCCCCAGGCAAATGCTTACACTCCAGATGGAGTCTGCACGCAATCCAGCTTCAATGAGCCCCCGGCACCCACACAAACACACGCGGTACACACTCACACATTCACACGCACGTACACATGAGCACTTCTTGATGAGCTTATATGAGCAATGGGATTTTTTCTGCCTTTTTTGTTCTTTGGGGTAATTGTAATTGCATTTGCTATCGTCTTGTGTTTGACATGGCCAAGTGCCGTATCGGGCAGTTCCAGGCGCCATTTGCCATTCGCCACTAGCAATTAGCCAGGCACCAGAAAACATAACCAGTTGGGCGCCATATATCACATTCCGTCGGCAAAAAGTCGGAAGGCTTTACCTGCTCTTAGACACAACTTCAGGGGGAGCACTATTATTTTTAGGATATTAAAAACCGAAAGTCCTTAGAAAAACCCAGCCAATTCCTAGAACTTCCACCGCCGGGATATATACAACTTGGTGTTGTGCGGATGTGGGGTTTTCGTTTACCTGCCTCTCGAAGCCTTAAGTTGTGTTGATTCTCCGGGTAAACAGTGCAATTTGCCACTCGTTTCCGATTCAATTCACTCCAGTTCGGTGGTTAATTTTCTGTGCCGTGCTGTAAATCACAATTGCGGACCGATAAAAAAATCAACGTGCATTCACTGCCGAAATGTTTTCCCACTGGAAGCGTGCTGCTGCTGCCGATGCCTGCGATTGTGTTTCAGCTTCTGGCTTTAAACGATGGCCGATGTCACTAGATAGACACGATGTGGGCCAAAGACAAAGTAAAAGCCAGGAGGGCCAGTCAGTCGGTAGGTCGGTCGGTCGCTTGATTTGGCCAGAAATCGGCGGGCTGGCTGGCTGGCTGGCTGGCTGGCTGGCTTGGCTGATGTTTGTGTGTGTATATCTGTATCTATAGCTTTAGCTTTAGCTTTAGCTATTGCTATTGCTTGAGCAGAGTGCGCGATGCGAGCTGCGTGTATCTATCAATTCTGCCAAAACCGAACTAAAAACTCTCAAGTGTGCGAAATGGTACATAAGTCGAGTGCCGTTCGCTTCGCATCCTCGTAAACAGCCGAGCGCTTATGTTGAGCAGGAGTCGCAGCTGAGGCTGAGCAAATATGTTGCGCACAGACACAGACACAGATGCGGATACAGATACAGATACGGACACGGACACGGACTGGGTCGCAGATACACAGATACGGATACAGATACAGATACACAGGGCAACACGCTTGTTGCATGCCCGCCAAATGTTGAGATACAAAAACTGAAAGCTCCTCGATAAGGGTGGCATGAATCTGAATGTGGGAATCCAAAGGGGGATGAATGGGCATCACCTGGCCTGCCCGGAAAAGTAGGCAACATATCGCGACAGGGCGCAAGCGTCGCTGCTGCAGGGCAGCTTTTATTTTTATGCTCGGCAACATCCCGCTAAAAACAACTGTTGCGTGTGAGACACAGACACACAAACACACACACACACGCACACACAGCTCGGCGTACTAAAAAGCCACACAATTGTTGTATTAAACACATTATACACATGTTTGTCTGGGGCTAAGGCACCCCCCTTGCCGTCAGTGGGATCCCACCCCCCAACCAGCTGGCGCTCGGGTAATTTTACATTTCTTTTAAAGCTTAGTTTGTATTGGTAAATAATAGAGGTTACTTCCCGCTCGACGCCGAAAAGGGCAAGCCGTCGTACTTTATGTACAGTAGACGTACACAGCTGCTGCTATGATAATAGCACCACTTCTAATTGTCTTCTGCCTAAATGGGCTTTATATTTTATATAAAAATACATATTTATTAAAATTGACTGCCTTTGAGAAAAGTCTAAATACCTAAACATAATCCTACCAAAGGTAATTTAAATAGAAACAAACATTTAACATAATATTTCAAATTAAACTAATCAACATTTTTACTCGTTTAAAGGCAATATTTTTTCGTGTTGTAACTTAAAAATACTTTTATTTTGATAATTTTATGCAATTTTAAAACAAGTTAAACAAAGGTTAAAAATAAAATGGAAGCCATAGACTATATTTTAGGTTACATTTTATAGAATTTAATTATAGAGCTGACGCTGATGTTGCTAATTATGTTTTTTATTAAAAAAAATTCAAAATTTGTTTTTGATTCATTTTAAAAATATTGGAAATAAGTTTTGGGGCTCTAGATATTCATTACTTCGTTCATTGCAATTTCTATAAAGAACCCTATAAATTACAACAAATTTATTATGAGACTTCTCCTGATAGCTATCAGGACTATTATGTTGACCGCATCTGTGCTTCACGCAGGGGATGACGAGATACAGCTCGCTGGGAGCACATTATATAAAATTTATAAATACTTTTAAGCGCGGCCTGTCAAGGTGCGTTTGTGCGTGTGTCTGGGTGATTCGATTTGGCTTGGCTTAGGTGGTCCATAGGTCGATTGGCTTCCGACTTTATTACTGTATTATTGGCCTTTAATTTGAGTTTGAACAGCAATATTCTTGTCCGCCAACACATATATTTCCCTGGCGTCAGCGTCAACTTCCCTTCATTCTTTTCAGCTAATTTCTGTAATGTTTTTCATTATTTCTTTTGTGAGGCAGCAAATAAAAAATGCCCCGGGCCAGAACACAAACGATTTATGAGCAGGAGTTTGGTCCTTGGACCTTGGACCTGATTAGTTGGGCAATTTAGGAACATTCAACACGTGACCGGTTTCCTTTGAATAATTTATTTTTGATTTTTTCGTAATTTATTGCGGCTTATGAACTAAGGGGTAAACCCATGCCTTATTCTGCTCATTTATTTTAATTTATTTGCAACTGCAAGAGCAATTAGCTGGAGTTTGATCAGGCATGACCAAGGAATGCCACAAATGTGTCAGAAACGCAATACGAAATGCAACCTGTATGCTGGTTTAATCAAAATAATTGAAATTTCAAACCAAATAGACTCAATTAAAGTAAATATAAAATATATACTGCTGCAATGATATTAAGGATATTTATCCTGTTGAGCTCTAATAATGGAATCACAACAATCATCTAAGCTTGTTCTGTTATTAAACAGCCTTGAATGAGAATAGATTTGGCTTTGGGATTAAACAGGAAAGATTATCAGCAAACGACGGAAAGAGATGACAGCACTTTATAAGAGAACAGATTAAAATTAGATTTTAAGTTGATTTCCTATTAAAAATTATTATTATTATTATTAATTCAAGTATTTCCTGGAATGAGCCCTTTTCTAACGAAAACGTATTGGTCCGATATTAAAGACCAGGAATATAAGTTTAAGCCGTGTCAACGTTTAGACAGCCTTCCAGCAATGCCTTTCAGCTCTAGCGGTTTATGGCCAAGGCCCTAAACGCACTTGCCACTTATCAAGGTCCTTTGGCCAGGCTGCGTCCAATGTACGCAAGTCATTAGGCTGATGGGTCCTGCTCCCTGCACCCACCACTTTTCCCTTTTCTTCCCTGGAAGCTGGAGAGCCAACCTTCGATGCCCGCCGCCCAGCCACAACATTATGCATTAATGTAGTTAGCACTCGACCTCACCTGGCGAGGAATGGTAGGTTGGTGGGTGGGTACCTTTAGGGATAGCGAAAGGTAAGGTAAACTGAGCCCTCCGGGTGCGAACAGTTTCACGCAAGCATTGCTACCAACAACATTTGCTTTTCATCACTTTGTTTGGTGTGCATTTTGCGGGGCTGGTGCGTCCGTCTCCAATGAAACG